TGTCAACAGGAGACTCACTTTAGATCTACAAATGTACAGAAGTTAAAAGTTCAAGGATGGTCCATCAAGTACTAACCAAAAAAGAGCAGGGGTGGCTATACTAATAACAGACAAAATAGAATTTAATTTAAAAACCTTCACAAGAGACAAAAAAGAACATCATATAATGAAGAAAAACTTAATTCACCAAGATGTAAGAATTGTAAATGTACATACACCAAACAGCAGAAATTCTAAGTATATGAAGCAAACACTGACATAATTGAAGGGAGAAATAGGCAAATCTACAACAGTAGTAGAAAACTTTAATACCGCAGTTTCAATAATGGATAGCCGGACAAAAGCTCAATAAGGCAATAGTAAGCATGAATGATACTGTAGACCAACTGCACATAACAGATATGTATATATAGGATACTCCACACAACAGGAGTAGAATACACTTATTTCTCATGTGCACATGGAAAATTCTCCAGGATAGATCACACGTTAGGCTATAAAACCAGTCTTAAATTTTTTTAAAGATTGAAATCATGCAAAGTATCTTTTCCAATCACAAAGGAATAAAGTTAGAAATCAATAGTAGAAGAAAGAGAAAAACTGGAAAATCCACAAATATATGGAAATTGAACAAAACATTCTTAAACAACCAATGGGTCAAAAAAGGAATCAAAAGTGAAATGAGAAAATATCTTGAGACAAATGAAAATGTAAATGCAACATACCAAAACATATGGAATGCAGCAAAAGCAGTGCCAAGGGGGAGGTTTATAGGTGTAAACACTTACACTAAAAAAGAATGACGCTCTCAAATCAACAACCTATATTTTCTCCTTAAAGTACTAGAAAATGAAGATCAAAGTAAACCTCAAGCTAGAAGAAGGGAGGAAATAAGAGCAAAAATCAATGAGATAGAGAATATAAAAACAATAGAAAAAAATGAAATAAAGACTTTAAAAAAAAAGATAAAATTGACAAACCTTAAGATAGACTAAGAAAATAAAGAGTGAAGACAAAAAATCAGAAATGAAGAGGGGACATTACAAATGATACCAAAGAAATTAAAAGGATTATAAGATACTATGAACAATTGTACAAAACAAGCTGGATGATCTAGAAAAATAGATAAATTCCTAGAAACACACAACCTACTGAATCATGAAGAACTAGAAAATCTGATCAGACCTGTAACTAGTAAGGAGGTTGAATCAGTAATCAAAAACCTCTGAAGGAAGAAAAAAAACAAAAACAGAACCACAAGCCTTCACTGGTGAATGCTAGCAAACATTTAAAGAAGGATTAAGACAAATTCTCCATGAACTTCCAGAAAATGAAGAGGAGAGAACACTCTCAAACTTATTCTATGAGGCCAGCATTAACTTGATATAAAAGGCAGACAAAAGCACCACAAGAGAGCTACAGACCAATATCCCTGATGAATACTGATGCAATAATCCTCAGCAAGATACTAGCAAACTGAATTCAACAGTACGTTAAAAGGATTATACACTAGACCAAGTGGGACTCATTCCTGGAATGAAAGGATGGTTTAACATTCATAAATTGATCCATCTCTAAATTAAAATAATGTAGGGAGGAAAAACATGTGATCATCTTAATGCAGAAAAACCGTTTGACAAAATTCAACACCTTTTCATGATAAAAAAAGGCCAACAACAACAAAGTAGGAAACTACCTCAACATAATAACAGTGATATATGAAAAACTCACAGTGAACATCATACTCAATGATGAAAGACTGAAAGTTTTTCCCTTTAAGATCAGGAACAAGACAAGGATTCCCACTTTCACCACTTCTATTCAGCATGGTACTAGAAGCTCTAGCCAGAGCAATTAGGTAAGCAAAATAAATAAAATTAATCCAAATTGGAAAGAAAGAAATAAAATTATCCCTGTTTGAAAATGATAAGATCTTATATGTAAGGAACCCTAAAGATTCCACAAAAAGATCTGTTAGAGCTAATACATGAATTCAGCAAAGTAGCAGGATACAAAGTCAACACACAACAATCTGTTGCATTTCTATACAGTAACAATGAACAATCTGAAAAGAAAATTATGGAAACATTCAGTTTACAGTGGCATCAAAAAGAATAAAATACTTAGGAATAAACTTTATCAAGCAGGTGAAAGACTGTACAATGAAAACTAAAAAAACCTTGTTGAAATAAAGAAGACATAAATAACTGGAAACATATCCAATGTTCATCGATTGAATGATCTAATATTTTTAAAATGTCAATAATGCCCAAAGCAATTGACAGATTCGATTCAATCCCCATCAGTATCCCAATGACATTTTTTTTTGCAGAAAATAAGAAAACCTATCCTAAAATCCAATGGCAGTTAAGGGACCCCAATAGGTAATGCAATCTTGAAAAAGAACAGAGCTAGAGGATTCACACTTCCCGGTTTCAAAACTTACTGAAAATCTACAGTAATCAGAACAGTGTAGTACTGGCATAAAGACAGACACATACACCAATGGATTAAAATAGAGAGCCCAGAAATAGACTCTTGCATATATAGTCAAATGATTTTTGACAAGGGTGCCAAGACCATTCAATGGGGAAAGGACAGTCTTTCCAACAAATGATGCTGGGAAAACTGGATATCCTCATGCAAAAGAATGAAGTTGGACCCTTACTGAACACCATATACAAAAGTTAACTCAAAATGGACCTAAGACCTAAGTGTAAGACCTAAAACTATAAAACTCTTAGGAGAAAACATTTAGGGTGAAATCTTCTTGTCATTGAACTTGGTAATTATTTATTCACTATGGTACAAAAGTTGTAAGCAACAAAAGACAAAGTGGACTTCAGGTAAATCTTTAAAAATTTGTGTATCAAATGATAATATCCACAAAGTAAACTGGCAATCCACAGAATGGAAGAGAATATTTGCAAATCATACATCTAAAGAATTAATATCCAAAATATATAAAAAATTCCTAAAACTCAACAACAACACAAACCACATGATTCAAATACGGGCAAAGGAGTTCAATAGATTATTTCTACAAAGAAGATATACAAATGGCCAATAAATTCATGAAAAGGTGCTCAGTATCACTGATCACTAGGGAAATGCAAATCAAAACTATGATGAGATACTACCTCACGCCTATCAGAATGGCCTACTATCAAAAAAAAAAAAAAAAAAAAAAACAGAAAACAGCAGATGTTGATGAGGATGTAGAGAAGCTGAAAACCTCCTGTGCTGTTGGAGGGAAAGTAAAATGATACAACCAATGTGGAAAACCCTGGGGAGTTCCCTCAAAAAGTTAAAAATGTAATTACCATATTCCACTTCTGGGTATATAATCAAAAGGATTGAAAGCAGGGTCTAGAAGAGATAAATGTACACCATGTTCATAGCAGCAACATTCACACTAGCTAAAACATGGAAGCAACCCAAGTGTACATCAATGGATAAGTGAAATGTGGTATATACATACAATGGAGTATTATTCAGCCTTCAAAAGGAAGGAAATTCCGCCATATGCTGTAACATGGATGGATCTTGAGGACATTATGCTAAGTGAATAAGCCAGTCACAAAAGGACAAATATTGTATGATTCCACTTATATGAGATACCTAGAGTAGTCAAATTCATAGAGACAGAAAGTAGAATGGTGGGTGCCAGGGGCTGAGGAGAGGGGAGAATGGTGAGTTACTGTTTAATGGATATAAAATTTCAGTTTTATGAGATGAAAAGAGTTCTGGGGATGAATGGTGGTGATGGTTGCAATCATTATGAATATATAACTACTGAACTGTACTCTTAAAATACTTAAGATGATAAATTTATTACTACAAAAATAAAATTGAAGAAAAAAATTATCTATCAAGCCATGAAACAACTGGAGGAGCCTTAAATTATTACTAAGTGAAAGAAGCCAATCTGAAAAATCTATATACCGTATGATTCCAACCGTATGACATTCTGGAATAGGCAAAACTATGGAGATAGTTAAAAAGAAAAGGAAAAACAAAACTCCTTTCAGTGGTTGCCAGGGGTTAAGAGAGAGGGAGGGATGAATAGGTAGAGCACAGAGGATAGGAGAGTGGTGTGGGGCTGTTAATGGAGCCACGTTGGTGGGGTGGGGTTTGGGAGGAATGCGGATGGGAAGAGCTAAGGGAGAAGCCTCTCTGCTAACAGCAGAACCCTACCAGCCCAAGAGAGCACAGAGCCTGCGCCCACCTTGGCTCCCTTCCCACCTCCATTCCTGCCTTGCCAGGTGAACCAAGGAGGGGATGCAGTGGGGTCAGCTGCTGATGTGGCAATGTAAGGTCACAGTGCCCAGGACCCAGGCGGTTGGGCTTAAGGATTGGTTGAGTGGCCATGTTTACTGAGTCTGCAGAAGGTTAGTGTGTGTGTGTGTGTGTGTGTGTGAGCTGGACGGGGAGGCAGTTCACTTTTGGAGATGTTCGGTTTTTAGATGAAGTGTTTTGTGTTCAAGTAAGATCTAAGGGGTGGGTGTCCAGCGTGCGGACACCGTTGTCTGGAGATGGGGAAAGCAAGGAGGGCTGGATTTACCAGCATGTCTCCGTCACCATGTCCGTGAGACTCGCTGAGAACTAAGAGGGTAGTGTCTGCTGTCCACGCACTCCAGTTTGAGCTCCTCCCCCACCGCAGGAATGGTGCTGTGGTGGAACAAGTCAGAATCCTTGATACGTGCCCACAATCAGGTTTTCCCGGCAAACTACCTGGGCTTGTGTCCATGTCTGATGCAGCACTGACACGGTTAGTAGAAACGCACACACCCGCAAGAGTATGGAGCTGCCTCCACATTGAACTGGTTCAGAGGGCTCTAGTCTTAATGAAGTCTTTGCGGGCACACAGCCGGGACAGAGAAGGGCAGTTCTGCCCTCCCCCAAACACCAGGAAGGTGGCAGGGCCCTCACCCCCTCCCCCAAACAAAATAATGAAACAGAGAGCGCCTCATCCAGTTCTGCTTTTTATTGATGTGTGTATACATATGAAGGGAGTCCTGAAAGACTGAGAGGTGCGGTCCCGCAGGGCCAGGCGTTCAGCGCACCTGGGCCAGGTTGTGTTTTTTGTACAGCAGCGCCCGCCTCTTCTCGCGCTCTCTCACGAAGGCGCGCAGACTTGCGGTGGGGAAGGTCACGGCCGCAGGCTGGGAGCTGGCGGGGCCCTCCTCGGTCAGCCACGGGCACTGCAGGCAGCTGGATGCGCATGGGCGGCCCCTGGAGCGCGCGGGGAGGGTGGCGTTAGCCGTGCTCCCGCCCACGACGGGCAGGTCAGGTCATAGGGGGATGGGCCGGGCAGGGTAGGTAGGGGTGCCTACCAGGGGTGCGCGCACAGCGTGCTTCGGAGGAAGGCCACAGCGCCCCCGGACAGCCCCGCGTAGCAGCGGCTCAGCTGGATGAGCCCCTTGCGCAGCCCTTTCTGCAGGTCTCGCATTCCCTCGCTGCTCACCGGGTAGTCAGCGCTCAACCTGAGTGGGTGGGGGTCAAGTGACTGAGGTCACCCTCAATGGATGGGAGTCACAGGGACCTGGGGTCACCCTCAGAGTACCCCAGGCCTGCCCTTCCAGCCAGCCCTCCCAGTCCACAGGGCACGTGGAGACTTACATAATGAAGGCCGTGACACCTATGGCCCAGATGTCGGTCTGCGCGAGGGCACCCTGGCCCTCTAGGAGCTCCGGAGCTGGGGACAGCATGGGTGGGGGTCACAGGTGAGGGGCTGGGTGTTTGCAGTGGAGTAGGCAGGGAGACAGGGCTGGGAGAAGGGCTTGCTCCTGCCACACCCCTCCCCCAGATCAGGCTTGGTGTCTGTGCCCTGCGCACCCATGGTCTCCATGTAGTCCTTGAACCTCTCCGCGGGCAGGACCCTCTCCTGGGCGGAGCTCTGGGCATTTCCAAAGTCGATGACCTTGAGCAGGTTGTACTCTGTGACAATCATGTTCTCAGACCTCAGGTCTAGATGCAGGATGCCCTGGGCGTGCAGGTACTGGGCAGCAGTTAGCATCTGCCACAGATAGTCCTTCACCTCTGATTCCGAGTAGGAGGACCTGGGGGCAGAGGGCCAGTTAGGGGGCATGTGGGGAGGGGCACCCAGGCTTTGTCCACAGCTGAGGGGCCACAGGGAAGCACCAGACTTTCCTGCTGGACTTAGGAGGGAAGGCCCAGCTCTGCTGAGCCACCCTGGTTGGCTGGCCGGTGCAGGCGGGGCCAGGAGGTGGGCCAGAGGTGGACCACAGTGCTGGCGGCCAGGTCCTGAGCCCCGAATCCAGGCCAGGCCCCGCCCTCTCACCTCTCGGCCAGACAAGGGAGCAGCTCAGGCCCAGAGCACAGCTCCAAGATGAGGACCAGGTGTCGGGGGCTGAGGTAGGCAGCCTGCAGCTGTGCCAGGTGGGGGTGGCGCAAGCCCTTGAGGGTCTCGTATTCCCGCAGCACGGCAGTCCTGTCCTCAGGGTGGCAGGGCACGATCTTGGCAGCCAGCACGCGTCCACTGGCCTTCTCCCGGCACTGCCGCACCACGCTGAAGCGGCCCCTAGGGAGGAAGCACGGGCCAGGCTGGTGAGGAGCCAGCCCGCCCGGTGGCCCAGGCCGGACCCCAATCTCAGAGAAGCAAGCCCAGGGGGGAAGGTCCAGGAGCGGGTGGCAGATGCACTGAGGCAAATGTAGGTGGAAGTGATCAGAGGGGAGAGAAGATGGGGCTGGGGTGGGAGCACGAAGAGCTAGTGGGGCCATGACGCTGCCACGCGCTGTCCCCGGAGGGCCCGTACCTTCGGATCTGTGTCTGGAAGGCGAAGGTCTGCTTGCTGGGGAGCGGCTGGGCTGGCCCTGAGGCACCGCTCTCCTCTTCAGAGGCTGTGGGAAGGGGAAGCCGATGACTGGTGGAGGGCACCCCTGCAGGCCCATCTCCCCCAGCCTTTTCTCCCATCACCCCTTCCCAGGCAACCAGACAGGGGGGCCCTCTTTGAACCCCCGAACACTCTGACCTCTCATTCCTCAGGCCATTTGTGGGTGGGGGGCCTAGCAGGCAGAACCAACCATCCCAAGTGAGCGTGTGACTCACTGAAGTGGCAGGGCGCATTCTGTAGAGCCCTGCAGAGTGGCTTACCCAGGTGGCTGGGGCCTCCCAGGAGGACCTGCTCCGAGGGGCTGCTGTAGGGGCCCATGCCCGCCTTGCTGACACAGGCCGTCCGGAAGGTGTACACCCCGCCCCGAGAAAGCTTGCCAGTGAGATAGCAGCAGTCAAAGATGTCCGAGGCCAGCGTGCTCCAGCTGCCGCCTGGGCCACACAGGAGCGGGTGAGAGGCAGCCCAAGGCCTCCCCACTCCATGTCAGGGTGGAGAGGCCCGTGCAGGCCACCCAGGGGCACAGAGCAGCCAGGCGCTTCCCCACTGTCCCCCCACAGCGACCCTGGGGCCCCCCAGGATGTGAGGATTCAGGAGTGGCCCCATACCTTCCAGGCTGCACTGCACAATATAGGTCACAGGGCCATATGACTCCACAGGCTTCCAGACCAGCAGCACCCCGTCCGCATACACCTCCCCGATGTCCGGGCGTGGGGAGGAAGAGGGGCGCTCTGCAGGGCCCACAGACAGCAATCTGAGGCGGGCTCCCAGGGGCTCTCTAATGAAGCTCTGAGCCCCAGCCAGCCCTGCCTCATCCTCCTGCAGCCTGCTGCCAGGCCCCTGAGCCCACCCTCACTTGGTCCAGTTCATTCAGAGGTCCCTTCCAGTGCTGACTAGTAGGAGGGGCTCAGCGTCTCTCCTCCGAGAGGCCTCAGGAGGTGTCTGCCCTACCCAACCCCGCCAGGCTCCCCTCCCACAGGTGTCCGCCCAGGAACCCCATGGAATGGCCCTTGCTCACAGCCCGCCACCAATCCCAGCCTCTAGTCAGAGGGGCCTCTATTTTGCTGGGCTGCGGTGCAGGGCTTGTGGGGGTTCGCCCCCTCTGGAGACCAGGTCAGAGGTCTGAGAGCTAGGCCTGCAGCCTCTGTCTTGGCTCCCCCAGAAACACACCCCAGCGCTGTGTTTTGAGAGCCTGGTTTGACTATAATAGAGATACAAAATGGGAAGCCGCCTCTTCCTGCATTTGCTGGAGACACAGGGAGGGAGGTACCGTGGGAAATGCAAGGAGAGGAGCACCCAAAGAGGTGTCAGGGAGAGGGCCTGGCCAGCTGTGTCACCCTGCATCCCCTCCCGGATGCCTCCTGCATCCCCTCCCGGGAGTCCCGGTCTGCAGAGCCGGCTACTGCCTTCTGTGACCCCTCCAGGCCCTGGTAGTGCCAGGATGTGGATGCCTGGGTGGTGAGCATCACATTCCTTGGGCCCTGCTCGGCCTACGCACCTGCCTTCCGGAGAATGGCTGTGGTGGCCGCCGTCCCCAGCGCATTGCGCACGCTGCACGTGTACACGCCCAGGTCCTCGGCAGTCACCACCAGGATGGTCAGAAGCTGGAAGTTCTTGAGCGTGGAGGAGATGAGGAGGCGGCTGCCGCTCTCAAGAAGAGCCCCGTCTGCAACAGGATAGAGTGGACCTCGAGGGAAGCTCCCCACAGGTGCCCTGCCTCATGGTCACACCCGGGGCCCACACCCTCTCTGAGCCTCAGTTTCCCTCTGTACAATGAGAGTAATGCCCCCCTGCCCCTCAGCCTCAGGAGAGCTCTTTACCTTTACTCCAGGTGGCCTGTACAACTGGCTGGGCCGACACCTGGCAGGCCAGAGTCACAGATTGGCCCAGGACCACCATCTCATCCGAGAGCTCCCTTAGGAACGATGGTGCTGGGGAAGGGAGGTGAGGTGAGCTTTCAGAGGTGACCCTAAGCCTGAGAGCAAGGCCTGGACTCCGCCGTGGGGATACAGATGAGCCCCACCCCCAACCGGCTCATCTCCAACACCAGCGCCTACTCCAGGAAGGCTTCCAGGACTGCAGGGCCGTGACTGCTGGGGCACCAGAGTCCCCCTGTGTACTCAAGACCCCATGGGTGTAAGCTTCCCCCCGCCATGCACTGTCTTGGCAGGGTTCCCTTTCCCCACAGTAAGGTCCCTTGGGCTGCAGTGGGGGCCCAGCCCCTGGGCAGTATACCCACCTCGGTCCCTGCTCTTCAGGCCTGATAGGCGGAAGGAAGCTAGGCCTGCCTTCTTCCTGGGGGGGCCCTCCTTCTCCAGACCTGCAGTACGGAAGTGGCCATGAGAGGTCACACGTTAGGGGCCTGGCTCCTCTGGGAGCATGGGAGGAAGGCTCTGGGGCCCCTTGTGGCCAACTGTGGGATTTCCATGTGGCAGAAAAGCCCAGATCCCAGGGAGTCTTATTGAAAACGAGCTACATCTGCTGCAGAGGGCACCACCCTCCCTACCCCATCAGCATCAGCCCATCCTAGGCAGGGCCACCACGGGCAGGTAAGGGCAGCAGCTCAAGGGACCACAGGTGCCTGGGGAGGCGTGGCTGAGGGCCCAGGGCTCAAGGATCAGGGAGGGCTGGTCTGGTTCCTACTTCCGCGGGGGTGTAACCGCAGTTGAATTACAACTGGGCCTCACATGCACATGGGGAGGGATCGAAGCTGCAAAGGTGACCTCGAAAACAAGCCACTGTGTCCCGGGAGGTATGGGCAGCACCGGGACAGGGGAGGGCTTCCTGCATCACTCAGGTGAGCTCCTGAGCTGTCCTTTTGGACAAGGAGACCCAAGGTGCAGAGCGGGGAACATGGATGTGCCCAGTCCTGGGGCAGGGTGGGGGTAGTAACCTTCAGGCCTGCCCCTCAGGAGGCGGGAGATGTGGGCCACCGAGGCCCTCACTCTCTGGCGTAGCCCCAGCTCTGTGGACTCCTCCAGCAGTGATTGCCTCCCGGGGAAGTGGAAGAGCCTGCTGGAAGGGGGTGACCACTTGCGCTTCCTGCTACCAGCAGCCTCCCCGAGCAGGGCCTCCATGTCCTCTGGCTCCTCTGTGATCTCCAGGCTTGCTGGAGGGCCCAGAATGCCCGGCCATGCGGCCTCTGGGAGCTCAGCCAGCTCCTCCCCAGCCTCAGACTCAGGGGAGGGTGGCAGCTCTGGCTCCACAGGCTTGGGGACCTTCTTGAAGATCATGAACTCAAATGGGAGGTATTTGATGTCATACAGATCAGACAAATTGAGGTAGGCAGGATCCACCTCCGAGATGTCCAGAGACACAGTGTCAGCCGCTTCCAGGTCCCTGGACAGGTCCCGGATCTGTACGAGCGACACCTGAGAGCCCCCACTTAAGTCTTCCCGTGAGCTCACCTCCTGGGAGGCCCTCAGGAGGGCCCTGCCACCCTCAGGTAGAGGCACTGTGCTGGCCTGGGGTGGTGGGCTCTCGGCCCCTGCCTCCTCCTCTTCCGAGGACTGACAGGCAGCCCAGGACATTCTGGCCCACAGGGGCCCCTGACCCAGCATGCCACCGGCATCCCCACCGAAGGCAAAGGTGCCATAGCCCACCACCCCCGCGTAGCCCCCTTGGAATCCCAGGGAGAACTTCCGTGTGGTCGCCAGCTTCTGAGGCCGCTGTGGGCTGGGCGAAGACTGGGACAGGCCCTCTGTCTCCTGGGACAGGCCCTCTGTCTCCTGGGACAGAATTTCAGTGTCCAGGGAGGGGCCGGGCTCCATGCCCATATGGGAGGCTGGCTCTGGGGGTTTGGGTGGATCAGGCCTCCCGGCAAGAGGGGTGTCCTTCAGCCCTCTCTCAGAGTCTGACTGGGGGCTTGCTTGGGCTGGGGAGGGGGAGGCCTGTGGCTTTCCTGAGAAGAAAGGGCTCGGGGATGTCAAGAGCGGCTCTATGCAGTGCCCTGGAGGGAAGGAGCCAGGAGGTTGTGGTGCCAAAGCAGCAGGGGTGCCACAGTCCTGGGGGGCAGGACTCCTCTGGGGTTGAAAGAAAGGGGCAGCCTGCCCTCCACAGCTGTCCTGCAATGACCCCTCTTGCTGAGCGGAGCACCCATCACCACCGGTGGACGGAATTAGCCTCAGCCCCTGCAGGGGCCCCTCTGGATGCTCCTTCTCCCTGGCATGTGCATCCCCTCCCGGCATGCTCTCTCCGTGGGCCCCCTGAAGGCTCGAGGGGCCCAGAGCGGAACATTGCCCCTTGCTGCAGGCCTTGGCAGAGGGTCTGGCTGTGTTCTGCCCGTCAAGGTCCAGGGAGCGGCTGAAGCCAGAGGCCTCCTGGGTGCTTGCACTGGGCATCCGCAGGGAGGTCTCAAAGGAGGGTGCTTCGGCCATCAGGGTGGCCTGCTCCTCCCTGGCAGCCTCCTCCTCCAGCGCACGGTGCTCCCACAGTGGCTCTCGAAGGCCGGGCAGGACGCCCGAGAAGTAGCCACCCTTGAGAAGGTGCCGCCGCCGGGCGGGGTGCCGTCTGCTGCCTGCGGACAGGCCCCCTAGCTCTGGGCCCTCGCCCACCTGCTGGTAGAACAGGCTTTGGATGACACTCTGCCGGGGCACACAGCCCAGGGCAGCTGGTGGCTGTGCACCCTGGGGCGACACTGCGGCGGGTGGGCAGGCCTCGGCCTCCTCAGGCAGGCTGGCGGAAGGCCGCAGGAAGCCCCGGGGGTGCAGCAGCGGGGAGTGGGTCACCGGGGAGGGGGGCAGCGACTTGGCCCGGGCGAACGGTGCCAGCTCGTTGTCGGAGGAGGAAGAGCTGCTGGAGGAGGCACTGACATCACCACGCAGGTGCCGGGCCACCCCGAGGGATGGGCTGTCGGGCGGGCCCTGGAGCAGCTCCGGGATGGAACGCATCACCAGGATGGACTTGTAGCTCATCAGGGAGCGCTGGGGTTGTGGAGGACAGGGGGTCGTCAGCTGGCTGCCCACTGCCTTCCCAGCTCTCGGTGTGCCCAGAGGGGTGCTCAGGAAATGGTGGGCATTAAAAGACGTGGGCCCAGGGCTCTGCCAGTGTGTCCCCATCTTGGCAGGGATGTTGCATGTTGCCCCACCTCACCCCGGTGTCTCAGGTAGCAAAGACCTGAAATGAAGGATGCCCAGCCCCACTTCCCTGCTCTCCCAGACCCAGAAGGGGCACACACAGCCAGCCAGCTCTCTGGGCCTCATTCCCCTCTCTGGCCTCCCACGCCCTCCACAGGGCAGCACAGCTCACCTGCCAGCGGCTGCGGGCCAGGAGGAACTTCAGCTGCTTGCTGTTGATGAAGTGGGCCTCCTCCGCAGGCACAGACTTCTGGGGGAGCCCAGGCGAGAGAGGCATGTTGCGGGGAGACCCTGGTGCACCCTGTGGCCCAGGCAGGCCCCCATTCCTCTTGGCCTCAGTTTCCCTCCACGTGAGCCAGGCCAGCCCGTGTTTAGCCTACTCACCAGGAACCAAGGGTGGGCAAGGCACTTGGCGGCACTGGGCCGGGCCCTGTGGAGAGAGGAAGGGCGGGATCAGTCCAAGTGGTCACTGGGGCAAGAATGAGGACCTCAGGCAGAGGGAAGGGCGTGTGTACTCACTCCACAGCCTTCTGCAGAGCAGCCTTGATAAAGTCCTGGGCATCCTCACTGAGGTGGGTGGCCATGGGGCTACTCCAGGACACCCGCCCTTCCAGGACATTCAGAAGGGTTGCTCGGTCACTCTCGCCAGCAAATGGGGACGAGCAGGTCAGGCTGAAAGCAGAGACATGACTAGCCTTCAGTCGTGACCTGAATTTCTGGGTCCATGGGAGGCAGGGTGCCGGGACAGGGAGTGCTGGGTCTCATGGGGATGGTGGTGGCTGGGGGCTCCCAGCCCCGACTAGAGATGCCTCTGAACACCACTGTCATCCAGCCCTGAGAATTCCAGCATATGTCTCAGATTTGCCCAGAGACCCAGACTCAGCTTGGAGCTGGGATCCAGGCTAAGCCTGGAGTGGGTATCTGGTCCCAGGCTGGGGTGAGGCTCCAGGCTTGGTCTGGGATAGGGATCAAGGGTCAGCCTGGGGTAGGGATCCAGGCTCAGCCTGGGGCAGAGATCAAGGGTCAGTCTGGAGGGGGCACCTGGCCTTAGCCGGGGGTGGAGGGATCAGGGCTCCACCTGTAGAGGAAATCCAGGCTCAGTCTACACCACCAGCGTCCTCAGGGCAGCAATAACTGTTATAAGGGGGCTCTGGACAAATTACCTACACCCTTTAGGGGAATAGCTCAGTGCTCTGCCCCGTGACCCAGCAGAGCTCCTCTGTGACAGGGTGTGTGTGAAAAGCACTTGGCAGAAACCCCTTATCGGAGTTGGCTGACTGCATGTTCCCAAGATAGTTGCCCCTTAGGTCTCGGGTCTCTGATCTGAGGAGCAGCCAGCAGTTCGACAGCTTCCCGTGGGCCTGCTGAGGAGGGGTCTGGGCCGGCTTTGGAGGAGACAGCCGACAGGAGCCGGGGTCTGCTCACCTGAGGTAGGAGATGACCCCCATGGCCCTGCAGGAAAGAAACCACCGCCGTGAGTCACCCCAGACCTGGCCTGGTGAGGGGGAGGAGGAGGCAGAGAGCGGGTGCCCCCCACTCACCAGATGTCGGAGGCCTCGCTCACAGGGGTCTGCTCGATGATCTCAGGGGCCACAAACTCAGGGGAGCCGTACTTGCTGTACTGTGGCTCTGCCGGGGTGATTTTTTGGGCAAAGCCAAAATCGCAGATTTTAATGTCTTCCCGAGCAGGATGCACCATCAGGATGTTGGGGGGCTGTCGGGCAGAGTCGGGAGTGGGTGAGGCCGTACCCTAAGGAAGTGACTCCCAGGGCTGCCGGGCCTGGGGAGGACACTCAAGGGTCTTTGAGGGCCACAATGATGGTGAGGCCAGCATGGGGTAGTGGGCAGCCCCGGGGACAGGTTTCAGTGCCATTTGGGGACAGCTTCTGCTCCATCGGACCTGCACCCCACCTGAAGGGGTCGTCATAACATAGTGAGCTCCCTGTCCCCAGAGGTGAGGAAATCCTGACAGGAAATTTGGATGTGTTGGGCCTGCACCCTCTCAGCCTATAGGCTCCAGGCTCCCACCTGCCCCTCACTGGGCTCTGGGGGCGCCAGGGAGCCACATACCTTTATGTCCAGGTGGAGGATGCCTTGGCCGTGCAGGTAGTGCAGCCCCTCCACCAGCTGCTGGATGTAGACCTTGACCTGCAGCAAAGGCTGGTGCTCAGGTGAGTCAGCCTTGAGAACCCCCTCTACTTACCTCCCTGCCTGCTCCCACCTACACTGCCTCCAATTCCCTCCAGACCTGAGCCTGGGACGGTGGTCCTGCAGGGCAGGTTACATGCAAAGCCTCACAGGCCCCTGTAGCTGGGGGATTCCTCTGAGCCCCAAGGCGGGGCAGGTTTGGGTGTGTGGAACAGCCTGTGCAAAGCAAGAGGCGACTGGGAGAGCAGGCGAGGGCTGGCCAGCTAGTTCAGTGCAGTCTGGGGTGGGGAAGAAGCGAGCCCCGGGCACGGGAGGGCTCTGAAAGCCCGACAGGAGCTGCAACACCCTGTGAGGCCCTGGAACACCCTAGAAGGTCTCTGAGGTGGGCAGTACTATGCTGGGGAGCTAGTCTGAGGGACAGGTGGTCTGGGCAGGGGAAGCAGGAGGCCTGGCCAGGCATGCAGGCTGCCCTGAAGCTGGGTGGGCAGCCCAGGCAGCACAGTCACCTCGGCCTCTGTCACCACACCCTTCTTGAACAGGCGGTCCAGCAGTTCCTCCGACGAGCACCTGGGACTGTCAAGGAAAGCTCTAGGGTCTGGAACCCTCACGGCCTCACACCACCTGGGGGGAGTCTTATCTCGGGGCGGGGGGCGGGGGGAGCTATTCTAGGGAGGCTGGTGCTTGCAGTTGAGGAGGATGTGAGGGACAAGATGCCCCAAGTAGAGGGGCTGAGGCCAGTGGGCAGCAGCAGAGTGGGGGTGGAGGTATCCTCTCCCCTCTGCACAGAGCCCACGTGTGCCCCCTCCCCCCGCAGGGGACGCTGATTGGGGAGGTGGGGGTGTGGTGAGCACACACGACATTCAGAGACCCTCAGCTGGGCCACGAGTGTGGCAGATGGATCCGGTAGGGTGTGTGCCCCTCCTTGGAGCATGGGTAGGCATCCGAAGCAGCGTCAGCGCTTGGGGCCTGCAGAAGCCAGGTAAGAAGTCCAAACTTCCTGCTGGAAAGGCAACGTGGACAGCGGGAGGAGCCCACAGGCGCACGTCTTGGACCTTCTGGACGCAGCCCTGCCCAAATTCCTGGCCCAAAAGCCTAGGAGCTATGAGGTCTGTGCTGTGTGTTCGGGGTCGGGGAGGGGGTTAGTCACAAAGCATCGAAACGCCAGCGTTACCGGCTGCCCCCATGAGGCAGGCAGGGCTGGGATCACCAAAACCACAGACCCCACGCAGCCCTCCGGACCCCTGTGTATCTGGGGCACATCCCCCTCCCCCCACCACCTTGCACCCTTGGGGTGAGACGGGATACAGCTCCAGGATGAGGATCAGGGTCTTTCGGGTCTCAAACTGGTCCAGCAGTGCAGTGACCAGCGGGTGGCTCAGCCCTGCTAGGATGTCCCGCTCCCGATAAGCCTGGACACGTGTCCTGCTCCGCAGGGGAATGAACTTGGCGGCGCAGGACATCTGGTTGCCCTTGTGCTGCACCCTCTTCACGAAGCCGAACACACCCCTGAGAGGAGGGTACAGCGCATTGGGGGTGGGGTTCCTGGGGGACGGGGTTTGGAAGGGGGCAAAGCTCCTGAGAAGGGAGGTTCCGGGACAGCAGGGGCTGGGGCAGTGGGTACTGGAGGGGGCGGAATTCCCGGCAGGTGTGGGGCAGCAGGTACTCCGCGGGCAGGGGCTCCGGAAAGAGGTAGGGTTCGCAGGAGGCAGGGGCTCCAGAAGGTGAGGGCTGGAGGAGGCAGGTACTCGGTGGAGGCGGGGTTCCGGGGGGGGGGTGGGGGCTTCTGCTAGTGCTGAAGTGGGGATTGTAGGGGTGCAGTGGGGGGAAGGCTGGGAGCTCCTGGATGGAAACTCTGGGGTAGGAACTCCGGGAGGCTGAGGATGAGGGTCTTAGGGGGTGGGGGTCCAGCGGGTGAGGCTCCTGGGGCTGGGATGGGGGGCGGGCAATACCTTCCAATTTCCTCCTTGACCTCGTAGAAGGAGTGCAGTTTCCTCCTAGAGCTTTGCTCACTGTCGCCTGTAGCCAGGGAGGGGGAAGCTGTAGGTGCGAGCAAAGATGACCACCCCGTCTCTCTGTCCCCCAACTTTATAGTGCCCGAGGCTGTGGGAGCTCACAGGACCCCCATACCCACAGCCCCACACGCCTGCATGGAGCCAAGACAGGCCTGGGAAGGGGTCCCCCACTCACCCCCATGGACCAGCAGCTCTGCCTTGCATAGCACCTGGCCGCCAGCGTTGTGGGCCAGGCATGTGTAGACACCAGCGTCATGCTGGGCCACATCCCTTAGTACCAGGGAGTATGTGGTCCCTTCCTGCTGCTGGCTGAGCTGGGGGCCATCCACCAGCTGGGCACCGTCCTGGAGACACAGGAGGGCAGGGAGGCCATCAGCCCACCATGGGTGACCCCAGCACCACGGCCCAGCATGACCTTCAGCAAGTGCTGTGTCCAGTCCAGTGGGGTTTCGCACACTCCCCCTCCCACCCGCAGGCCCCCAACCCTGGCCTGTCCCTACCTTATACCAGGTCACCGTGGGCTGCGGGTTGCCCTCAATGACAGCCTGGAATTGCGCCACGCTGCCCCTCTGGGCATGCACATCCTCAATGGTGACCTGCATGGATGGGGGCCCTGGGGGTAGGGGAGGGAGCCGTTGGGAAGGAGCCTGGCTCTGTCCCACCACAGCCTGTCCTGTGTTGAAATCTTTGATCCCCGGCCTACTTTCACAGAGACCCAGGTGGGCTGGCAGTAACCCCAGGTGTGTCCTGGTACCCTAGGTGGGCAGAGAGGCCCCGAGATATACCCCAGGGTGAAAGAGCCCACCTGCCTCCCAAGTGAAGGTGACCCCATCCTGACTCCCCCCAGGCCCCTGATGGTCTGGAAGTGCTTCCTTCAGTCTAACCCCTGTCTCTCCTGCTTCAACCTCGGCTCTCTGAGGGCAGGCTGCACAGAATATGCTAACTCTGAGTGGGGAAAAGGTCACTGCTGCCTGCATCTCCCCTCCCAGTGATGCCATCTGAGGGGACACAGGGAGAGGGGGAGCAGGGGCCCTGGCCACAGTAAGGCTGGGACATGCCAGGTGGCTTTGCAGGCCCCTCCATGCAAATGTCCCCCCTTGCCCAGGGCATGGTGGGCACACGTGTAAAGTGCCGGGCCCCCACCTACTTGTGGCATACATGTCGCTGGCCTGGTACACATATGTCCTGTGCTTGGTCTCTGTGAACACGTGGCTGTGGATGTCCCAGAGCTCCGTTGCACCTGCCCTGGGGCAGGCAGCGTCCTCCATCCTGGGGCCATGGAGTGGAGTTAGCTGTCTGCCCCACCCTTCCACTTTTGGGGTATGGGAGGCAGAGCTTCAAGATAAGATGGGGGCTGCAGCAGAATCTTTGGGAGGGGATGTACAGAAAGGGGCCCCAGCCCTGGGTGAGAAGGGAGCTCCCCCAACTTCCCTTGCTCCAGGGGTGGCCTCTCCTCCCTGCCCTACCCTTGGGCTTAGGGTGGGGCTGGTATGGAGAGTGCAGGGGTGCTGTGATTCCACCCCTTACTCTCCTGTCCCCGTGCCCGACCCTGCCCCCAGGATGTCCCCTCATCCCCCAGCCAGCTGGGGAAGTTACCGGATGGGCACCATGCGTTCCTGGACCTCAGCGTGTGCCCGGGAGTTCTGCTCCAGGCCCTCGTGGGAGAGACGTTGCGGCACCTTCTGGGGCTCGCCTGGTGGGAGGCAAGGGGCCCAGTGAGACGGAGCCTGGGATAGGGCTGGAGACAATCCCTCATGACTTGCCTCTGCATCGACCTCCAGGGCCCAGAGGAGGGGAGGACAGCCAGAGTAGGGGCTCCAAGAGCACAAGATCTGTGACCGCAAACCTAGAGCTCCAGCCATGCAAGTGCACTTCAGCCCCCTGGGCTGGGGGGAGGGGCCCCATAGCACATTCCCAGGGGTCTGGTCTGCCTGGGGCACTGCTCACTTACTGTTCCTTCCTATTCCCCTCCTCCTCCTGGTCTCCCTCCTTCTCCTCTCCCCCCTCCCCTCCCCTCCCCCCTCCCCTCCTCTCCCCCCTCCCCTCCTCTCCCCCTCCTCCCCTTCTCTCCCCCTCCCCTCCCTCTCCCCCATCCCCTTCTCTACCTCTTTCCCTAATCTCTCCCCTCCTCCTCCTCTCACTCTCTGTTCCCTCTTCCTCCTCACCTTCCCAGGAGCACAGGGTACCCAAGCTGTCCCCTGAGGGCTGACCACAGGAGGCCTTTGGCTCCTGGGACAGACATGCTCAGGGTGGGAAGGACCTCCCAGAACCCATCCACCCCTCTAGTTTCACAGGCTGAGTGAGGGGTGGGCCTTGTCCAGGGTCCCCAACATGTGGAACCATCAGAATGTCGGAGGTCCCCAGGCTCTGCTAGTTCACCCCCATGGGATGGGCACCCAAATTAACCAAGGTTGGTGTCAGAACGGAGGGGAGGTTAGGGGTGGGGGGGGTGGTCCTGGAAGCAGGTGGTACTTTGCCTTCAGCCTGCTGCCAGGCCTCACCGGATGCATCCCCAGCCTCCACTCCTAGGGGATTCTGGCCGGCCTCCTGGAGTTCAGGTGGCCCCCCAGGTCTGGGGCCGGGGCTGGTATGTTCCCCTGTGGTGGGTCCCGGAGCCTCAGGGCACATCAGTGTCCTCTGGATGGATGTGCTCTCCTGGTCCACTTGCCCCAGAGCACCTGGGGGTGCGATGGCAGCATCTGTAGGAGAGGCAGGTCCACGCATAGGAGTAAGGGTTGGCCTGAGCCCAGGGAGTGGGATACTGCCCAGATGAGCCAACCCCAGCCAACCCTTCCCACCTTTCTGCTCCAGCCACACATTGGGTGCAGGAAGGGCCAAAGGTGGAGGCCCCTGAGAGAAGAAGGGATCCAGAGACTGTGACGGGGAGATGGTACTCCAGGCAGCAAGCTCAGGACTGGTCCACCCACAGGGTGTTACACACATGCCCTCACAAGAATGTCAGTTCCTATAGGGACAGCTGGGCCTGGACTCCCACCCATCACTCTGGGTGGCCCCTCAGTCTCAGCTAGTCTCATCCCTTCATCCTGGGGCTGGCCTTGCTCTGTAGCCCACTCTGGATCCTAGGGTACTGGGCCACCCAGGCTCAAGTGGACCCAGCCCCACAGTCTAGGGAAGCTAGGGACAGCCAGATGTCAGATTAGGAGCCATGAACTCCTCCTCAGAGGGTAGCCTGCATTCCTGCCCTCCCAGAGCAGCCCCTGTCCTCCACCCAGCAGCTTTCTCCCTTCCACCTGCAGCCTGGCCTGACCCAGACCATTACACTCTCACCTGGTGCCAGCCCCGGGAACCTTCAGACCCTCCTGTGTCTCAGCTTCCTGCCCTCAGCCTTCAGTGCAGCTCCCTCCTCCACCTGGCTGCCGTCCCCGTGTGGCCATTCAGAGATGCCCACCACCCCATTTCTAGAAGGTCCCCCTTTATGGAGCTCTTCCCTGCCCCAGAGCCTCTCTCCTGTTGATCTTCTGTATCCTAGGGCCCACCAGGCTGAAGAGGCAACTGGGCAGGCTGCCATCTGTTTGCCCTCTATGGCGTTGGGGCAACCATCCTGTCTTTCCCCATTCCAAGGAGGTCATCAGGACCCCTGACACATCACACCCCCATGTCTGTCCTGACAAAGGACCCAGCTGCACAGGAGGCCCCCAGCAGGAGCAACCGCTATGCGCTGCCCCAGCCACACTGTGTGCACCTGTCACCAGCCCCTTAGCCCACATGTGAGCAAGCTGGCCAGGCGAACTATCACGTCTCCACGCAGGATCCCCAGGACTAGCCAGGACCCACAGGTCGATGCTGAGGGTCCACCCAGGGCTGTCAATGGAAAGGGCCTGGGCTGTCCACTGGTTGGTCTCCAGGGCCAGGCCAGGAGGGCCCCTCCCTCCCGAGTCATCGGAGTCACCAGGTGGAGAAGCAAAAAAGAGCAGAGCAAAGACAGTGCAAGGAACCAGTTTATTAGCATCATCAGGGCCGACTGACGGGGGCTGCCTCCCACACAGAGACCCTGGTCCACCCTGTAGAAAAGGCCTAGGAGGGTCTGTAGAGCTGGGCCCCACACAGGCCTCCTGGAGACCAAGAAAAAACGTTCACGGGTAAGATGTGGCTTGGGGGAAGCCCCCTATCGAGAGGGAGGCTGGAACCCCCAGCCTGGGTGAGAGGCAGGGCTGTGCCAGGCCTGGCCACTGGGACGGGGGCCTAAGCCGGGGCAGACAGGGCCCATGTGGCAGCCACTGCCTCATGAATGGAGCAGGAAAGATGCCCAAGTGCCTTCCCTGTGTCTGGAGCCCCCGAACCCAGAGCTGCAGTCTGCGAGTCACTCCGGCCAGTGCTCTCAGAGCAGCTTCGGTACACTCTGAGATCACAGATGTGTGCAATGTCCTCAGCTGAAGACCGAGTCCTGTGAGGTAGGAAGCACCCAGGGAGGAAGGGGAGGGAGGTGTCCTGAGTTGTTGGAGAGCCAGGGCAGGGTCAGAGCACACGTGTCCGAGGGGTGCCAGCTCTGGGACTCTCCCCTGAGTTGAAAACCCAGGGCAGCTGTGAGGTGAGTTGATGCTGGTGCCAGGCAGGGTCCTCGGCCCCAAAGCCATTTGCCTCTTTCTGCTGCCCCATGCAACCACGGCAGCTTAGTCAGGGGTGTCCCAGCCCCAAGAGTCTCTCATCTCAATCCTAGCCACCCAGCTCCTGATGGTCCTGGCCTCAGCCCTGGGAGGGGCTGGGGTCCACGTCCCCACCCGGGCAAATGTGCAGGGTGACAGTCTCCCCCACTGTCCCAAAGCTGACCGTCTGGGTGGAAACCTCCGTTTTGAAGCTGCTCTGGCCACTGTCCACAGAGCGCTGAACCTGAGTGCAGAAGGACGGCTTCCGGGACATGGTACCTCCAGCCCGGGCCTCCTGAAAGCGGAAGGAGATGCCCCTGGGGCCAAGGTCCTGCGGCCGTGATGGAAACACCTCCCGGGAGCTGGGCATGCGTGTGAAGAAGCCAGGGGAGGTTTGGGAACCTGGCGGGAGCCCCACGTTGAGCAGGACGGGCTGCCCCACGGTGGGCTCGCTGATCTCTCTCTGAAGCACTGAGATTTCGCAGGGCGGGTCATCGGAAGCACTGGGCATGGGGCCGCTGCAGCCAAAGGTCTCCCCTTCCTGGGGCACGTAATCCTCCAGGTCAGCCAGTGTGAGTGCACGGCCGTTGTGTGTGAGGATCTTGGGGTCCCGGCCCTGAAGACCATCGGCACTCAGGGGCTCTTCTATCTGGTAGGTACCTCTTTCCTCCGTCTCCTCCAGGGGTGCCTCCTCTTCAGCAGCCCAGGGAGGGGAAAGCTCAGGGGTCCCTGGCCCCGTTTCCACATGGAAGACTAGGGGCTCGCCAACACTGGCCATGGCTGGGGGCTCCTGGGTCAACAGCTTGTTGTTGGAGTTGTTTGTATTGGGGTCTCCTCCAGGCAATCTGCCAGGCAGTGTGGAGAGAAGCCCCTCCGAGCTGCCAGGTGTCTCTCTGGCCAGAGACGCGCCCGTTGAGCCAGTCTTCTTCACCCGAACTTCAATGGTCTCCTCGACCTCCACCCATTTGGGCTGGGGTCCAGCGTCCCCAGGCAGGGCTGATATGTGGGCCTCGGGCTCCGTCACGTACAGAGTGGGCACAGTGGGCCTCCAGCCTGGCTCTGCCTCGGGCCTGCAGGATTGGCTGGCTCCTGGCGAGGGCAGCAGCTCAGGGGCCAACAGGCCTGGCTTGGGCAGGCTGGCAGGGTGATAGGAGTGGGAGGGAGACTTGCTGGGGGACTGGCGTCGGCCACGGGGGCTCTTCACCACAGTGGTAATCGTCTCCTCTCTGTGGGGAGAGGGCCGAGAGGAGATAGGCACAGAGACCCACAGCCTCACCCAGCGCCCTTGCCATCAGCACATTCGGGGGCCAGCGAGAGAGATCAGGTTAATGTACAAGCAAGCAAGCGGCGAAATTGCATAAACTAACTCCTACACATGGGCTTAAGCCGGATCTCCAGATCCCCATCCAGAGAACCAAAGAAACAAAGCACAGAGTCTCATCTGGCCAACCTCAGGCTCTAGTGTACAGGTCTCAAAATGAGGGTTGAGGCATCAGGAGGCCCATGCTATATCACGCAGGTACCTCCAAACCCCAGACTGGTTTGTAACGTCATGTGTCAATCTCCCCTCCTTGTTTATGGCTGTCTCATTTTGGAGACACCAGCCCTCCTTACAGAGCTAATGAAGGGGTGCAAGCCACACAGCCCTCCTTGTTGATCCCATTGCTTTGTAACATGGCAGGAGGGTGGTGGGGGTTAGAGGGGCTCTCAGACGGCAGGTGCCTCAGTGATCCTCGGTTAGGGACAGGCTGGGCAGCTGATGCCGCAGACGCAGGAGGAATGTCAGAGTCTTGACCTGTGGCCTGTGCTCATGGCCTGCAGGTCTGGGGATGTGAGGCCCTGCAAGGACACCTGGCTCTAGGCATGGCTTGGCCAGTCATGGGCTGTGTGACCTCAGACAAGTCCGCCTCCCTCCTGGGCTCCATTTCCCAAAACAGGAGGGGGATGGAAGGGGAAGAGGAGATAGAACTCAAGTCCATTTGCTCGTGAGTGTGCATGGGGCGCTGGCCAGGGACCTTGCAGCAATTCTGGGGGATGGGTCTGACCCCCTTTTACAGGTGCAGACAAGGATGAAAAGGGCTCGAAACTTGCCCAGGGCCAAGAGTCAGAAGCCCACCAGTCAGCCCAGGCCTTCCTATGCCAACCAGTACACCTGACCTTGCCAGGTGCTGAGGGTGCAATGAGTAATAGGCAGGGAGCAGGAACACATTTAGTAACACACAGCTCTCCTGGGCCCCAGGACCTGCATTTCCTCTCGGGCTCCGGCATGCATATGGTGACAACTCAGTGCTGTCACCAGCTGCCTGCAATGACTAGGACTTTGTCTGTCTCTTGTTCAGCTTTGCTTTTGCCTAACTCACAGCTCCATACAGGAGGAGTTACTCCCAGGCATGGGCCCAGAGATGTGTGGCCACACCTTGGGGTACATAGCAAGCACAGATCCTGCCTTCTCCAACCCTCACCCGGTAAAGGGGAAATACCATGCCCCCTTAACTCATGGGGAAGCTGAGGCACGGAGACGTGGCCTACTCAGGGCCACAGGCCTGCCTTCCTGCTTCACGCAAGACTCAGTGGCACTAGGCTTGTCCCTGGGTCAGAGACTGCCCAAACCTGGGCAAGGCCCCATCTGCTGGCCTCACACTGCCTGATTTGCTGAGCCAAGACAGTGAGTCCAGTGGAACTGGACAGCTGGATCACTCCTCCTAAATGCACCCCCATGCTCCGCTCACTGCTGCCCCCACGAGGGCATGTAGGCACCCTGCTCTGAGGCCACTGGCACGGCACTTGAGGCTGCCAGGTGGCAGGGGTCTCTCTGGTACCCCTTGGCTCCCTAGAGCCCCTCACCGTGCCGCAGGCGCAATGTGTGGAGTGCCCTTGCTGGGATGCTGCGCCAGGCAGTTGCCTCTCTCCATTCCTCAAGATGAAGGGGTACACGCTTCCTTGCAGGGTGAGGGTTGCTACCTCCCTAAGCCTGGAATAGACTGGACTTCAGGATGCCTCGGGAGTTACCTAGTCCAGCCTCCCATAAGCACGAGGACACCCTAATGCCTCCTCAGCGGGGCTGCCCGGCCCCATCTCTGCTCCTTCATTTAGTCTTCCGTAAAATGTAAATAACAAGGCTCCCCTCATAGATGAAATGTAGAGGTGATCTGTGTAAAGCTCTGGCATGGTTGCATACCTCCAGGGATGGGACTTACTTCTGCCCCAGGCAGACCCATCTATTGTGAGGTGGCAATCTGCTTTGGGGGAGAAGGGAGAAAGTCACGGAAGGGTTAACCTAGGAGCTTATCAAGACGGGATTCTCCAGCAATATCACCACCTGCAGGCACCTATAGGAGGTCTCATGCCTATGGGGAATTAAGAGGTTCCCCATCCTGGAGCCTCCCAGTCCCCTGGCTTTAGGAAATCATAGTCTTTCTTCCTCCTGGATTTTACAAGCTCTTCCACCCGTCTGCTTCACACATCTCCTACTGGAAGTCCTTCCAGATTATCCAGGTCAAAACCAATCCTGCCTTCTGTGGGTTCACCTAGCTCTGGACCTCTTGTATTATTTAATTATCAACAACATGTGTGGCTTTTCCTCAGCCTTGAAGGCACTGAAGGATGGAGAATGGGACAGTGGGTGTGGCACTGAGGAAATGAGTTATCGGCTGGCTTCCAATTGTGAGCCACCCTCAGCAAGCCTCCTCTCTTCCCTGAACCTCAGTGTCCCCATCTTCCTAGTGTGAGGGCTGAGTTTGGAGACCTCTAAGGGCCCTAGAGCTGTGCTGTTCACTATGGTTATGCTATTTTAATTAAATTCAAAGTGTTGAAAATCGAATAAATTTAAAAATCTAGTTCTTCAGTCACACTAGACAAGTAGCCACATGCGGCTAGTAGCTGCTGTAGTGGGCTGTGTAAATATAGATTATTTCCATCATCACAGAAAGTTCCATTGGACAATGCCCTAGGGTATCCTAGGGTAGCATTCTGCCTCTAGTACACTGGGGGAAGCAGCTTTCAGTCCCTGCTCCCCCCTAACTGGCATGATTCTGGGTCCAAGCCCTGGGTGAGCCACTGTGACGTACACAGAGTAAGTCTACCCTGCTGAGGCAACGGGGCCATGAAAAGGGTACTTAGACCCTGGAAGAGACAGCTTTGAAGTGTGAAGGTAGCCAAGGGCCCAGGGGGAGGTGAATGCCCTGGGAGTATCTGCAAGGTGCTGGCAGTCTGCGTGGTGAACAAAGGCCATGTGGGCAAGCAGTCAGACAAGCAAGGGGCCAAGCTCCACAGGCAAGGTCCAGGGAGGTTAGTGGGCATGCAGGGAGCACTGCAGTCAGAAGGAAGGTTAGGAACACGCCTGCACTTACATGATGACGGTTTTCTTGGGGACTTTAGTCTCCTGCTCAGTGACTACAAAGAAAACAGTCGGAATAGCGAGGGTTACAGATCAGCCGGTGTTTGGGGGCTGAGCTATCTGAGCGGCATGGCAGTGTAGTAACCCGCTCAGCTTAGGAAACTGGATCCAAACCCTGCCTGGCTGTGTGGCCCTGGTAGGAATGTCTGAGCTTAGAGTCCCAGGTCCCTCATCTTTGAAATGGAGGTGATAATGCCTGCCTTGAGCGGCTGGGGGGTGAGGAGTTGTGATAACAGTGTGTCCCACGTGAGGGAAGAATTCCTCTTGAGGGCTTCCTGCAGGACCTTCAAGGAGACTAAGGGCTCTGTCTAGGCTGCCCACACAGAAATCCAAGCTTTTCCTTCAGCCCATGCGCCCAGGGAGCCCTGTGAACTTGTCAGGCCTGAAGTTCCACTTTTCATAGAAACCCAGGCCTAGAGAGGGAAAAGGAATGGCCTGTGGCTGATAGCCAAACTGGGACTGGGGTGGCTGGTGCCTATTTCACAAAAAAATCTAAAGACCAAAGGGCGTCTCTCCAGGGCAGAATGACTCCGGAGTCCTAGAGGTAGCACATCTGAGTCCTGTGGCATGAGACCACAGAAGTCCCTCTGGGAGGGACCTGAGGGTGCCTGAGCAGGGTCCTGAGCTCTGAGTGAGCAGGGAAACCTAGGTCTTCCCATAGGAGCACCCCACAAATTCAACTGTCTCTTGACTTTCCTAGCTTTCCTCCTCGCTGGAGCCAGCAGGATATGGCCTGTGGTTCCCATTTTGCTGATAGGGGACCCACGTCCCAGGGACAGGGCGGGACCCATTGGCGACCTGGCAGCAACTACTCCCCACCATCTCGAGGCCTCTTCCTCTGTAGCTTTTGGACAGGGTGAGGCTTGGCACAGAGATGCCTCTCCCAGCCTTGCCCAGCTGGATAGCAGGCAGCCCACCAGCTACCAGCACCCATACATCTCAACAGTCCCTCTCGCCATCCTGTGGGGAAAATTGAGGGGAAGGCTCAAAAAAGTCAAGTGGCATGGCCTAGGGCACACAGCTTCTTAGTCCCTGGTCGATGGGATTTTCTGCTCTGTTGCAGTGCCACGTAGAAAAAGAACTTCCCTTAGATGACTGTGGGTATCTTAACCTTGTCTCCAGTTAGATGAACGTGAAGTAAATGTACTAGCTGTGTCTGTATGGCACTTGGGAGCCACATTTACTGTGCGTGTTTGTGTGTGTCCATGCTAATATGTGTGTCTGCATGCACACGTGTGTGTGCCCATATGTGCTTGTGCAAGCTGCCTCCTGGAGAGAGGCGAGTCCACTGGAAGAGAGAATGGGATCCAGACAAAATATCCTGTGTGTTTAGACTTAGTCGGGCCCAGAGAGCACCAACTTGTTGTGGTCTGTAGGCCAAGCAGTGAGAGATCCAGGGCTCCTTGCCTCACCCTCCCTGACAGGGGCCTCATTCTGTTGCTTTTGGGGGTGGTGGCTAGGGCACCTGTGGGCTGCTACATTCCTGGCACCTTTGTTCCTGACTTAACCTGCCACCAGGTGGGCTCTGGGCTCCAGTGAGTACTGGCTGTGGAAGGGGTGCATCTGTGCAAAGTGCGGCTCCTGGCCCTGCGCAGTTTCACAAGCGAAAGGGCAGCGCCCCACCCCACAGGGCCAGCCAGGGCCCGTTCTGGCTGCAGAACCACTGGGTTAATGATGAAGCGGCAGGATAGGGTTAGGAAGCAGGAGGCAGCGGGCTCCAATTCCAGGGTCTGTGAAGACTGGCCTCTCCTCATGAGGCACGAAGGCCATTTCCGGCACAGGTGGGCCGCCCGTCCTCCACACCCTGTGTCCACGGGACCTTGACAGAGACCCATCATGACAATGAAGTAAATAGCTCTGTAGGACGTGCTTGTCACCAGTCGAGAGGGTGTGCTGAGGTGCATGCTGAGCCCTGCTCTGTCCGACGTAAGATGCCACAGGGCAGGATAGAGGTGCCGGCAGATGCCATGGGGCCCTCCGATGGGAACCGGCTTGACCAGTGCCCTTTGGGGCTTGAGGAACAGGATCCCTGCCCACGAGGGAAGGAAGAGTCCCTAGAGGGCGTCAAAGGCCCCAAGGCTGAGCTCCTGGGGCCAGGTGGCCGACTCTGTGAGGGTCCAGACAGACAGCAGCCCCTGCACATTGGGCCCTGGGAGGGATTGATCCAGTGGCTCAAGGCATCAGAGAAGCCAACTTTCAGGACTTGGGAGGACACATATCTCCCAGCCCATCCTACTGTGAGAGCTGCAGCTCCACCAGCTTTTTTGGTGCAGCTTCTGCTTGCATGCCGCCGAGGATGGGAGGCTCAACGTCGGTCCTGGCAGCCCCTTCCAGGTGAGGCAGTTCAGACTGGGAGAAACTCTCCCTGGGGCTGCTGCCTGCCCTGGGCCATCCCCGGGCTGGGCCCAGCTGGGACCCTGGAGCCAAGCGTGAGTGGAGGAGTGAGCCATCTTGCCACCCTTCACCTCCTGCCCGGGAGCACACGGCTCCCTAATGAGGCCCATTCTGCAGCCCAGACCCCTTGCAGCCTGGTCCAAGCCAGGCCAGGGAGGCCAAGCTACGGCATTCTCTCTTTTCCTCAGCCAGCCCCACCCAGTGTGGAAGGATCAGGCCCCTGACACCTGTTCCCTCTCCTAGGAGCCAAGTTGGGATCCAGTAGCCCGCTTCTGCGGAGCCGTCCCTCTTACCATCCCTGCCACCCATCCTATAATACCCCTCCGACCACTGCCTGGCAGGCTGCTCAGGACCCAGGTCTGGGCTTTGTATGCACTTGTTATTCCCCCAGGGATGGTGAGCAGGGCTTAGGGCCCCACCCCAAGCCCCTCGGACTGCCCCTCCAGCCTTCCCCAGGCTCTGGGTTCACAGCCCACCCTCCTCCAGCCCACATACATGCTGCTCCAGTCAGGAACTGGCAACCAGTGCTTGCCCCTCAACCTCTGAATCCCCTCTTCCGTCCTTGCTTCCCCTCATCCAGGAAGTGTGCTCTGATTAGAGGCGTTGATGGTTTCACCCCACCTGGCGCTGCCCAGGCATATGGCGGGTCCAGCCCAGGCCGAGACTGGCAGAGGAAGCACTCACCTTCCACGGCAGCGAGCTGCTCCACGTGGTGCTGTTCTCGGGCCTGCAACGCCGGGCTCTGCATGAACAGCTCCGCGCCGCCCCGTTTGGAGCCCAGCTGGTTCACCAACTGCAGGGCAGACAGCAGAGGCTCACTTAGAGCCCGTGGCTCCCCAGGGGGGCTGGGCAGTCTCTTGGAGGCCGTACAGGCCAGCTGTAGCATGGGGGGCCCACCACGGCTGTTCCTAGAGCTGCAGAGCCTAACCACAGGGAAAAGGGTACTGGGCGAGCCACTGTGTCCCCAGCACTGACCAGGAGCTCCCTGTGATGGCGGGGACGCTATCTGCTCTGTCCAGTGTAGTGGCCACGTGGGCTCTGAGTACTTGAAATAGAAGTGAATCTTCACCTAGAGTTAACTTTAACTGATTTAAATTTAAATCACTGTGTGTGGACAACAGTGACCGAAATGGACAGCACAGGTCCAGAGCTGACATGGGTCCATTTTTTCCCTGAGAGTTGCCATGCGGAGCAGGCCCCACACCTCACCCATGAAGGCTGCCGGCAGCAACAGTAGCTAGCAGCCAGGAAGAACCACAGCCAGCACACACCTTCCCCAGACCATTGCCAGTTCCCCCCGGACCACGAGGACTGAGGGGGGTCCACCCAGGGCCCGCCTCCTCCGTCCCTGTCTTCTCAACATGGACAGTGGGTGACAGTGGCCTGCTGTCCCCTCATCATGGACAGTGGGTGACAGTGGCCTGCTGTCCCCTCATCATGGACAATGGGTGATAGTGGCCTGGTGTCCCCTCGTCATGGATGGTGGGTGACAGTGGTCTGCTGTCCCCTCTCTCATTGTGGTCAGGAATGGTGGTAACCAGGCAGGATCCCCAAGACAGGTCCCCTCAGCCCCCTCCCCCTGGGCCCACCCTCCTCACCTCACACTCATAGAGGCCCAGGTCCTCCTTGCCAGCTGCCCGGATCTCCAACACCCGCAGGCCGCTGCGGGGCTCACTCAGGGTCTGGTATTTGCCCCCAGGGGTCAGCAGGGCCCCGTCCTTGTACCACCTAAAGCCAACCCCGGGGGTGGTCAGGTGGGGTCTCCCCAGGTCCCCCGTGCTCAGGACCCTCCCCTCACCCACCCTGCAGATCCAGATGTCCTTACAGAGGACATCCCTTACATCCCTCTTGGATGCCACCCACCCAACATCCTCTGTCCTCCTCGCTGCAGCTAGAGCTGTGTTCGGAACGTGCTGCAGCCCCATCACGCCCACTTCTCATCGGAAAGGCTGAGGTTCTGTGTCCAGCCTACCCCAACCCAGCGAACGGGCTGCCCACCCTCATTTTTCAGGCAGGCAGGATGGCCCCAGGGCAGGCCCACCTGCCCACCTCCACCCTGGCCCCAAGCTGCCTGGCCCACCTGATCTGAGGGTGTGGGACACCTTCGATGGTGCAGGTGATCTGGGCATCTTCTCCTTCCACAAAGGGCACTGCCCGGACCTTGTTCACAAACCGAGGCGGGACTGCAGGGTCCAGGGAATGTGGGGAGAGGGGAGAGAGACAGAGATTGAGAGATGGAGAAAGAGACAGAGACACAGAGAGAAAGAGATAGACAGATAGAGAGAGACACAGAAACAGAGAGATGCAGACAGAGGAACAGAGATACAGGGAGACAAAAAGACAGAGAGAGACGGAGAGATAGAAGGAGAGAGACACAGAAATGGATACAGAAATACAGAGAAAAAAACAAAAAAGAGATGGAGGCAGAGAGATGGACAGATAGAGACAGAGAGATACAGAGAGAGACAGAGACAGAGAGAGACACCATGACGGAGCAGGACCCCACGCCCACCAGCGAGTCCCCCGACCTCAGTAAGATGTTCACACCCACCCCCTGCCAGCTCCATCCACGGGCCCGTGCCCCCCCCATGAGGGCTGATACCCTTCCAATGCCCAGAGGGTGGGGCCTGGGCACTCACACTCTGGCCTTCCCCCAAGGGCTCACCTTGCACCAAGATCTTGCCCAGGGTGCTGGCATTGCCAGCAGCACTGGCTGCAAAGCACATGTACTGGCCAGAGTCAACACCAGTCAGGTTGTCCAGGATGAGGGCACACGAGCCATCAGGGTCTTCAATGAGGATGTGATGAGGGTCCACGTCCACTGGCTTCCCATCTGGAAAGGAGAGGAGGGCCGTCACAGAGGGAACCCCATCAGGGACAAGAGACTGGGCCTGCTTGGAGGTCACAGTCGCAGGGTTTGATGGAGGGGGCTGCCCCTGCAACACAAGAGCCAGTGTGGGTTCCCTGCCAGGGGTCTAGCCAGCCAAGCTGACCTGGAGCCCTGGATGGAGACGTGGCACACCACTCCCCATCTACTTCCCCAGACCTCGTTGGGCACAGTGTAGCCTCTTAAAGGCAGGCTCTTAGCTGGAGGCAGGGGCCAGGCTGGAGGACCCAAACCCAAGGAGAGGACATCTCCTTCTGATAACCAGACCCTCAATCACCTCACCAACGGTTCTGCAACTATCCAGGGGCCTCCAAGGTACTGACCCCACCTAGTAGACATACTCGGACACTACCCATTTCTTTCTTTCTTTTTTTTTTTTGTGGTACGCGGGCCTCTCACTGTTGTGGCCTCTCCCGCTGCGGAGCACAGGCTCTGGACGCGCAGGCTCAGCGGCCATGGCTCACGGGCCCAGCCGCTCTGCGGCATGTGGGACCTTCCCGGACCAGGGCACGAACCCGTGTCCCCTGCATCGGCAGGCGGACTCTCAACCACTGCGCCACCAGGGAAGCCCCCACCCATTTCTTTAATCACCCTCATCCAAATGCCCATCTAACATGTCCAGCTGTAACACATTTCTTATCTGGGAGAGGGATGGTGAGATGTGCATCTTTCACTACAAAGAATTCTTTCCTCCATAAATATGTAAAATTTCATAGATGAACACTTTCCAATAACTCTGTACTTTCTGAACAAGGTTGTTTAAGTTATAACAGTTCATAAGCAGCACCTTGACTTCTGATTCACAGGGAACCTTAAGAAACAATTTAAAAATATATCCCCCCAAAAGCCTCCAGCTACCACCTCATTTCTCTGTGCCCCTGTATGATAATTCCAGGAAAGAGTGGTTCTCACTCTCTGTCTCCAGGTGCTTCCCTTTCCATCCTTTCCCAAACCCACACCTCTTGGCTTTCACCTCGCACACAAAACAGCCCTTGACAAGGCTACCGGTGACACTGTCAATCTGTGGTCAAATCTCAGTCTTCATCTTGCTGTCAGAAGACAATTCTCCATGGACTTCTGGGATTCCTGCACAGTCAGATCCTCTGGGCAAAGACACCTACCACCAGCACTGACACCCCAGGAGCCTTCCAGGGCAGCAGGAACAAGCCCTCACCTTCCTTCCCTATGAGACATTTGCTTGTCTTCCAGGGCCATAAGTCACTTCTTGCTCTGGAGGGAAGGATGGGAAGATGTGCCAGTAGCCCCAGAAAAGCTCAGCATCTCCTAAAACTTGGGGGTTCTCTCTTGTGGTACAACCCACTGCATGAAGCTGACATCTGGTCCCTGGATGTGGAGATCAAGGCATGGGCAGCCCATGCTGCTTTTGCTGTGAGAAACAGCCTTTGTCTCTGACCTGGGGTCTTGTGTCTTTTGTTTGTATCTGGCTGGTAGGCTGGCTTGCTGGCTTGCAAGCCAAGAAACATCTCACCGTTTCTGATCTGCAATTTTGGCAGCGAGGAAGGGATACCTGTCAGAGACACAGCATCCCAAGAGAGAAAGAAAGTGGCCCGTGGGCCAGTTCACAGAACATGAGGGAGGTCCACAGGAATCAGTGGTGAACATACTGACCACACTTCACGGTCAGCTGGGCAGGAAACAGCTATTTGCTGTGAATGGAGAGAAACTGAGCAGGTGGCTGCAATCTGAGCACTGAGAAGTGGGCTCAGAGACAGACACTTGAATAGTGCCTTGGTTGATGTACTCTTTCCTTGCAGCGGGGACACTGTTGGTTCAGCCTCAGGTCAGCCCCACTTCCCAACAAATATTAGAACCCATGCTGAGTCCCAGGAAGGTTCCATTCCGTTCTTACCCCAGTCACAGAAACACACACCTACACTGGGTGCAAAGAGAGAGCCATCACCAATCCTGATGGGCAGAATGCAGGTAGGAGCAGGACTAGAACTCAGGGATGAGAGGCATGGGCACCAAACACGTGCAGCATTCTTTTAGAGTTAACAGTAAAGGATCTCAGTGTTTGCTGTGAACCCTGGCTCGGGACAACTCCCTGATATAGACAAACCTCTACGGGGAACCATCAATAGCTGGCACATGGGCTCGTGGCACCTGGATGGTGTCTAGAATGCTGGTGACACACTGGAGAAGGTGATCCAAGGAGATGTAAGTGCTTCCTGACAGGTGGCCCTGCCTCCTTGGAAAACTCACTCAGCCCTTATGGGAAGACCCAGAAAGAGGATGGGAGGTGTTACCATGGCTCTGGGCCAGTGGAAACCCCTGCTAAGTGGACCCCATCCAAAAGGTCACCACCATGCAAGTTAAACCCCAGCCAGGCAAGGGGCACAGAGCCCCTGAGAACAATGTGATGTGGTTTTTAAGTCAAGCTAAAACAGATGGGATCAGTAGTGACAATCTTGCTGCCCCATTTAGGGCTTTGAGTGAGCCCAAAACACTGGATATTACTGAGCTATGGAAGTGTGTCTTGTTCGATCCCTGGCCCCTTCCTCGTCCTCCACCTTCACCTCTGTTTAAGAGAAAAATAATCAGAAAATGGGGCTTCCCTGGTGGCGCAGCGGTTGAGAGTTCGCCTGCCGATGCAGGGGACACAGGTTCGTGCCCCAGTCCGGGAGGATCCCACATGCTGCTGAGTGGCTGGGCCCGTGAGCCATGGCCACTGAGCCTGCGCGTCCGGAGCCTGTGCTCCGCAACGGGAGAGGCCACAACAGTGAGAGGCCCGTGTACCGAAAAAAAAAAAAAAAAAAAATCAGAAGTGGGCCTTCATCTCCCTGTGCCCAGAGGGACCAGAGGCCCTACATGCCCATCTGATATGCCAGGCACCTGAGGCAGGGGGAGAACTTAGATTTTGGTGGCTCTGCTGGACACAGGCATCTGATTCCACTGATGGGATGTGAGCAAGGTTCCCAGAGAGCAGGAAAAGTAATGTCACCTTGGGGTCAAGTCAGGGTGCTGTGACTGTGGCTTCTACCTCTGTTCGGAATTTCCTGCTCCACACAAGGGTGGGGACACCCTACACTTGGATAGGTGGCTATAGGTCCTATATAGGCTATAGGTCCAGCCCAGCAACGTGTCACGTCCCAAGATTGCCAACAGGACCCCAGGAGGAGAAAGGAAGTTCCAGGCCTCCTGGGTGATGTGAAAGGAGCCAAGCTAACGAGAGAGGCCGAGTCCAAAATCAACAGCCAGAGAGAGTGGTGGCTGGCAGGAGATTGTCGCCAGCCCAATCCAGTCACTGGTCCTGTGGCTCCAGCTGGCTTGGACAGGGTGGCTGTAATAGGGTCTGCTGTGCAGGCTAACAGCTCCTGGTGGGAGTCCTGGGCATTGCAGCCACCCGCTTTTCCTTCCTGCTGGCATGCAAGGACCAAGACCACAGGTCCCTGCATTCGCATGGGCATGATCTCTAATACGCATCGCTGGTGCTCTCTGCTCCCTGCTGGCTGCCCCGGAGGGCGGGGGGGCGTGGATCAGGACTTGGCCCTCTCCCCCGACACTCAAGCTTCCGCCAAATGAATGACATGTTTGCTGGCTGGTGAGTCTGATTTCTCCTGGCAGATGCTACTTTTCCTGGCAAAGGTTATGTGCTCACTGACCTTGAGATGTTGTGAACGCCCTGGCTATGTGGTTTGACACTTAACAGGCTATAGACAGGTGGGTTGAAGACACCCTTTCTTGGGTCCATGAACCATGGAGGCAAAGTGAGGCCACTGATAGGGCTCCCACCAGGGTTCCTGTGTGGAGCCGTTGCATTGCACGTGGCACTGAGTTGCAGTGCATGCCAGACAGGGGACTGCCGAGAGAGGCTCTGAGATGGGGGGGAGTGCACATCACTTGGGGTGGACCCCCCATCTGGCAGATGGGTGCCTCTCAGGGCCATCTGTGGTGTTTCCAACTGAGATGCTGCTTTAGGTCGGTGAACGGCCAGCTCTGGCCACACCACATGGCTGTGTACGCTGCCTGGACCACCTGCGGTTTGAGAACCTGTGTCATCTCTCACAGAAGCTGCCCAGCATGAATTGACCGTCTGACTGTCCCTTGCTTCCTCTACTCACTGGACACAGCTGTCCTCAGAGGGGTCAAAGCCTGCAAGCTGCTCACAGGGTAATGGTCAAGATGAAAGGGACAGTGGATTGTCTGGATACAGCTGGGAACCTGGGATCCCACTCTAACTGTTCCTGGGCATGGTGCATCCCTCATTCCCCTCAGACGCAGCCCGGCGGGCACACTTTCCTGGGGGCAGCCCAGCTGAAAGGTGGTGGCTGAGAGGCTCATTCTTACTTCTAAATAACTTTTATGGAATGGCTTTGTCTCTCTGGACACATCGTCACAGGTGCAAGTTTGGGGTGTGAGAAGGGATGGCAGGGAAATGGAGCTGCACTACATATGGGCTCTGTGAGGCAGCTGGGAAGGGAGCTCCACAGACGCCAGGACCCCACAGACCCCAGAAGGATGATCCCCAGGCTGCTGCGGGGGACCAGCTGCCGCTCCACTGACTCTGGCCTGAAGCTCTGACAGTGGGGCTGGGACGGCCCCTCTTTCATGTCCCAGCAAAGTGCCCCTGCATGTCTTCTCCAGCCCCATTCTTAGCCATTCGTGGGTGAACAAATGCCCCAGCTGGTTGTGAACAAGCAGGACAGGAGGACTGACTTCCCTGGGACAGCTCCTCCAAAACCAGGACTGGACTCGGCTACTGGGACTGAACTAAGGATTCAGGATTTACCTGCCAGCCCGGAGGAGACCTACCTGCCAGCCAGGTGAGGCCTAGTAAGAGTATCTTGGTTTACCTGGGAACCTGGACCACGCCAGATGGTCTATGCCACACTGTGATTTAGGGTGAGGGCTTTAGGCCATACTGCATCAGCTTGACCTCAGAGGGGCCAGAGATTGAGGTCAGCCATGCAGGTAGTCAGCCTACGTGAATGCCCCAACAGAAACCCTGGACAACAAGGCTCAACAAGTGAGCGTCCCTGGTTGGCCACACTCCATGTGATGGCACACATCTGTACTGACAGAAACAGGCATGTCCACACAACTCCACTGGGGGGACATCTGGACCATACCTGGATCCCCAACTGGACCCCACCCCATGTGCCTCTTCCCTTTTACTGCAGTAAACCAGAACCCTGAGTGGAATGGCTCTGCTGAGTTCTGTGAGTCCTAGTGAATCACTGAACCTGAAGGCGGTTATGGGACCCCCAACCTTGCAGTTCGTGTCCAGTGAGAATGGTCTTGGGCTCCTGACCTCGGTGTTCCTGGGGACCCCCAAAGTTTGCAGCTCCCATCACACACAGAGTCAAATCTGAGACCCACACGGCAGCCCTCAAGGCCCAGCATTCCCCAGCCTCATTCCCCACTGCACCTGCCTCAGCGCCTCCCCCTCCCCTGTCCTTCTGGAGCCTGACTGCCTATTTGGAGTTCCTCCAACATGTCTGCATGATGAATACTCTCTGCCCTTCACTCTGCCTTATTTCTCTGGCTGGTCACAAATATTACACATTTGTCTATGTGCTTGTCATCTGTCTCCTCCCCTAGAAGGTCAGCCTCCTTGGACAATGTTGATCTGCCTGTTCACTGCACCTTCCCTGCACCTGGAATGGTACCTGGGCACTCAGCACAAACATGTCAAATGAGAGAGCGCATGAGTGAGATTCGGTGGTGGGCAGAGTCACTGCGTCAGAAACACGATGCCTACCTAAGCAGCCTCCGCCTCTGTCCCACCTCATCCACCTGTGCACACTGGCCAGCCTGTCTTTGATTCAGGAACAGGAGACTGGAACAGGAGGCCTGTCTCTTGTGTCCAGCCCCTCAGCCAGACCCCACCCTGGATCCCTGGTCCCCTGCCCAGCCTGATTCCCTCTGGGCAGCTCTTGCTTGTTGCAAGATCAGTATCCACTGGTCCCCAAATGCCTACCTTTGTACCAGCTCACAATGGGCTTGGGTGTGCCCGTCACACAGCAGGCTAGCTTGACTGTCTCGCCCAGCTCAGCCGTGCAGTCGGCCAGCTCCTCTTCAAATTCCGGGGGGCCTGGGGATACATACACAGGGCCTGGAGCACTCACCCGTCCCCTCAGGTGCACACCTGGCAGGGCCAGAGCCCCATGACCAAGGATGTGGTTGCAACAGATACCACCCCTTGTGAGCCTTTATCCATAGTACCACACTAGGGCCTGGATGGGCATTAGGGTGAGCGACACAGGTTGGCTGTATACTGGGGAGTGGTAGGGACTGTGGAAAAAGAGCGCATGTTGAAATGGGATCCTCTCTCCTGTTCTAAACGAGGAACTTCTGGGCCCTTCACATTCCTAACACTGTCTGGGCACCTGCCTTGTGCTGGAAAGCCCCGAGTGAACCTCGAGGCTCCCCTCAATTCTGGTCAGGGCCAGCCCTACACTCTGACTAAGGGCTCCCGAGAGGCTGGGCTAACCAAGGGTAGAGAGAGCCACTTGCCCCAGAATCGGGCCCCTTCCCTTGTGCCTGCCCAGGTAGGGGCAAGGCGCCAGGGCTCAGGACCTGCCAACCTGGGTGCCTGCAAGCCAGACAGCCAGGCTGAAAGGTTCAGCCTCCCATCCAGCCTCGCTTCATGAGCCCAGGCACTCACGCCACACGGGCAGGGCCAGGCGCTGCTGGATGCCACAGATCTCCTTCACCCAGGAGTTCTTGGTGATGACCGTCCGCGCCTGCAGCAGGTACTTGCGTACTGAGTCCTCCCGCTCGTGCCAAACCTCGAAGGCACGGTCATCGCCCTCCACCTTGTCGTTCAGGTCGATGCTGCTCAGCTGTGGGGGGAGGATGCAGGCTGAGCGCCTGGATGCAGGCTGAGCCATGGTCACCCAGGACAGGGCTGCAGGACCGGCCAGCAGCCTCCACCTGCCTGCACATCCTGCATGGCCTCCCTCTGCCCACCCAGGCTCCGCTGGCACCCTGCAAACCTTCATCATGTTCCGGAAGACGTAGCTGAAGGTGTCAGTGCGTGAGTCCCGCTTGGGCTTGCAGACCACCAGGTGGTGGCGGAACAGGAAGACATGCCGGTGGTGGCCCTTCCACGGCATCCGCGCACCCGGTGTCCCCTCCCACACAATGAAGTGGCCCTGGGAGAGTGGTGAGCCTGTGGTCAGCCAGGCCCAGCCTGGAGTCCAGCCCTCCACAAGCCCTGGCCACCTGCCCAGGCCCTCCACTGCACCCCCAGTCCCAGACCTGGCGGATGGGCTCGCCTAGAGCCTCCAGGGTGCCCGGGTAGTTCTCCATGAGCGACACGTGCAGCTGGTTCTCGGCACGCTGTGGCAGGGCCGACACCACTGCATAGGCCTGCTCCAGCAGTGCACAGTTCTGTCCATTCCGCGCCTTGTTGCGGATCAGCTCCTGGGGGAGACTGCGGGTCAGGGCGAGACCTGGGGTGGCTGGGCATGGGGGTGGCCCCGCAGCCCCTGGCCGGCCGTGCCTACCTTGAGGAGGGCCTGGTACTGCTGGACCCGTTCCACTGGCTGCTCCAGGAAGTGCTGCAGGGATGGTGGGGGTGGCTGCGAAGGATCTGTGGCTGACAGCACCTCCTCAGTGTATTTCTGTGGAAATCGCAGGGCTGGGGTTCAGGGCGGGGGGGCACAGCCTCCAGATGGCTTATGTCCCCAGAGCCCCAGAGCTGGTGGATCAGGGTCCCACACACAGACCCTCCTCCCCAGGTGGGCCCCACCAATGCCCCAGGTGATGGCGGGTGTCACTGTCTAACAGGTGAGCAGAGCTTGGGGTTGGGGGGGGCGGGACCCTGCCCGCTTTTCTAAGCTAGGGGCCAGGGGGCCTGGGCAGGCTGAAGTGGGGCCTGAGCAGGGTCAGGGAAGATGATCTAAGAGCTAGAAGCCAGCATCAAGCCTGGCGAGTGGAGGCAGGGCTGACGGGCAGAGGAGCACCTTGTAGAACTCCTGCACGGCCGTGCTGACCATCACCGACTCAGCCTGCACTCGGCCCACCAGGAACTCCAGATACTTCTCAAAGGCTGCCTGGTTCTTGATGAAGCACATGGCCACGTCATCATCCGTGTCACAGCTATGCAACTCCTGTGAGAAGCTGCCATGGAGGGGAACAGTGGTCAGGTGAGGGCTGACATCAGGACCCTCACCCACGACCCACAACCCAGCCCCAAACCCTCAGGTTTGGGAAGAAACAGGCTCCTTCCCAGGGCCGGGTTCCTGTGGAGGACAGTGAGTGTTCTGGGCTGTGAGGGCCACACATATGTGGTATTTCAGGGCGTGCACTTATGTGCAGGTGTGCAAGCACGTAAGGGAGTACGTGTCTGTGGGTGTACATGTATTCGTGTGTGTGCCATGTACATGTATGCCCACCTGTGAAAGGCTGTGTGTGAGTGTGCAGGTATGCACATGTACTTGTGTGTGCCCATGTACATGTGTGCGCACATTTCTGGGGTATGTCTGTGTACTTGGGTTGCAGTGGGTAGGTGTGTCACAGGCACTTCCGGGGATAAGCCAGGTGCACGTGCCTGTGTCCCTGGGGACATGTGTGTATAGGAGTGTGGTGCACCAGTGGGTGAATCGAGTCATCAAAGGTTCTGTCTCTTCTCGACTCCTGCCCACTCTCCTGAGGTACAGCCCTGTCGGTACACACATGTGCGAGTGTGAGCATCCACGTGTGTATGCACATGTGTGGTGTGTGTCCACGTGTGTAGGCATATGTCTTGTGCATGTATGACTTGTATGTGCACACGTGTGAACAGTGTGTGTCTAAGCATGTGTGTGTATACATGCATGTACACACAGACCAGGGAATAGCCTTGAGGCCCACCCTGCATGCCCACCTGCTATGGAAGTGACTGATGTCCTGCACATTTCGGAAGATGACTGCCTTCTGGCTGGCCACGGCCGTGGGCACGTGGGGGCAGTGGTCCAGGTACTGCATGTGGTGGTTCTGCAGGAACTGCAGCTTGCCCACAAAGGCCTGCTCCGAGCTCAGCAGCTCCTGGATGATGGAGCTGGGTGGGGAGACAGCCATGAGGGGAAGATCCAGGAGCTTAGCTGCTGAACCGGGCATTTCCAAGTCACGTGCATCCTGCTGCCCACTTTCAGAATGGGCCTGGCAAGCTGGTGGAGGGAGGGCACCCTCACACACCAGGCAGCCCCACCACACGAAGTTTCCAGGCAAGGTCCCGCCAGCTAGAGGCAAGCCCCAGGGGACTTGGGTGTAATTAGCATCTTGGAGGCTCCCCACAGGAACCCGGCTCCCCACAGTTCCTGCCCGGTGGCCCCTCACCTCAGCCTCGTCTTGTACTCATCCTCCGACACAGCCTCCCCGGGGAACTCAGGGGCCTCGGCTGGCCCCCACTCAGGTGACAGCTGGTGAGAGACAGGAGAGGGACATAGACAGCCTGAGCACTAGCCTGTCCTTCCAGGGCGAGGCTCCCACCTTCATGGGGAACGGGGGTACAACCCCAGGACCACCCTTCCAGCCATCCAGGTACCTTGAGCCGCTTGTCCAGGTAGGCAGGAGACACCCAGCCTTGCCGAGAGAGGCTGGACTTGGTGGGTTTGGTACGCACAAGCCAGCGCAGCGGGTGCGCCGAGTCCAGTACCTCCACATACTGGCCCTCCCGCAGCAAGATGGCATCCTGCTCAGCCCCCAGGGGCAGGTAGTCAGCCGTGACCACATAGATGTCAAAGATCTGGGGGGGAAGTCACTGAGTCAGACCTGGAGAGGGGCCAGTGGGCCTCCTAAGGCCCCAGGCTACAAGGCCTCTGGAATTAAGTGGAGAAGAAGCAGCCATCCTGAGATTCCATGAAGTTCTAGAACAGGCTCAACCCATCTCTACTGATGGAAATCCTACCAGGAGTGCCAGGTGGCCCACCCCAAAGGGACAAGGAGGAACCTCTGGGGTGCTGGGGGTGTCCTGGGTCGCAGTGGTGATATTGGCCACTCAGGTGTGTGCCCACCTCCTCTGCCCCAGCTCCCCTGGCCCCCTACACCAACTCCACCTTCACCCTGTCCCTGACACTCTCATACCCCCTTGCCCCCCTGCCCCACCCCTCGCCTGCCCATGCACCTCTCCCCGGTAGTCTCCATCCTCGGACTCTGAGGATGACTCCTGGACGCTGGAAGAGAGGCGTGACCGGCCATGCCGGGGGGATGCGGACGGCGTCTTGGACTCCTCATCGCTGTCACCTCCAGGCACCTGCAGCGTGGCTGGGGGACACAGGGCACATGATGCCTTCAAAGGGCCTGCACCCCATGCCGCCCTCCCATGGGTCTACAGGGCGTTCAGGTGAGGAGGGGCCCCAGTCCTGGGGGCTCAGTCACGGCCATCCCTGGACCTCGCTCCATCACCAGCTACCCTTACCCTGTGTGATCTTGGCTGACACCATCTCTGTGATCTGCGAAGTGAGCTTCTTCAGGAACTCCTCCGTGCCCACCTCGGCCAAGGACAGGTGGCCACAGGCCTCTGATGACGGAAGCTCTCCTGGGGGCCAGACCCTAGCTCAGCCAGCCGTGTGCTCCACAGATGTGCCCGAACACCCGCCTCCAGGCCCATCCTGGGCTTGGGGGTCAGAGTAGCCAAGGGATGCACAGACTTGGGCCAGAGCTGCCAGAAGCAGGGAAGGCTGACCACAACTAGGGGTCTCTTTGGCTCAAGGGCAACTGAGCCAAGGTGTGACTTAGGGGACCACAAACTCAGGCATGACAGTGGGGGCAGCAGGTGGCTGTGGGGAGAGCAGGCAGTCAGGGGACAGCAGGTAGCCAGCATGGTTGCAAGGCAGTGGGCAAGGGCAGCTGAGGGCAAAGCTGGGTAAATGGTCAGGCTGGGGTTGGAGCTTGGAGCTGTGGGGTCCCCAGTGGGGTTTGTGCCAAACCTCCATTCCTGTTGGCCACTTGGCCGCTGGTCTGGGAAGGGGCTCAGAAGGGACGGAGATCACAAGGACCTCAGCCAGGCAGTATAATACGAGGGCAGGTCCTGGACACTGAAGGCAGGGGGCAGGACCCCAAATTGTGGCCCGAGGGCTGGGGGGCCAGACCCCCGGCAGCTGTGGTTTGATGGCTTCAGGTCGACCTTGAGGGAAGTGTGATCCTTTGCAGGTGTAAGGGGCTGGGAGCAGTTGCTGGGGTTATGGGGGAACGAGGGCGGCTTGGGATGGGGGCAGCACAGGGAAGGGAGGGCTGGGTAAATTAACAAAGCAGGTCAGTGGAGAAGTGATCCCAAAGGTGGGCAATGGGTACATGGGGTGCACGGCTCCCTCCTCTCGACTTCTGTGCAGACTCAGTATTCTCCATAAAACAATTTTTTAAATATGCCAAGGTGCTGGGGCCCCGTGCAGGTGGCCAGGAAGCAGCTGGACATGTCAGGGGGCAGGCACACTTAGAGGCTGGGAATTGGGGGCAGGGGGAGAATCCCTGACAAAGTGGGGGCCCTGTCGGCAGCATATCCAGCACCCGCCTCCCCGAACTGCCCCCATGCCAGCCCTGACTCAGCAGCTGCCTGCCCCTAGGCATCCATACAGCCCCCTGGACGAGAGCTCTGAGCCAAGGGCTGGCCCAGCCCAGGGGCCCCCGCGAGCTTCCACATCCTCGAGGGTCAGAAATGGCCCGGAGACCAACCAAAGCTCAGAATTAGGCCCATAAGAGGGCAGGGAGGCCCAGCCCAGAGCTAGGCAAGCAGGTGTTCCTAGGGCCACACGGTCCTGGGGCCTGCCAGCTGGGCAGCCTCCTCCACACCCCCTGTCCCCCACCCCGCACAGATGTGTGCCCACTCAGCCCGTACCTTTCCTCTGCCCAGCAAGGTCTGTGAAACCTGAAGGTTGAGACATCTGTTCAGAAACAACTTGGGTCCTAAAGGGGGAGGAGGTATCCTGAAGGGCCTGACAGAAAAGAGGGTCTGGGGGCAGTGGGCCTTGATGCCACAGTCGGGGCCCTGGGGAAGTCCTCTCTTTACAATGGGGACCCAAGCCACATGGCCCAAGAGGGCCAGAGCTGGGCTGGGATCTGTGATGGGGCTCCCTCCCAGCAGCAGCACTGCCCCCCACCAGGACCAGGACCCCACTCTCCCAGGACCTGCACTCCCAGGACCCACATTCCCGGGACCTCACTCCTGGCCCCTCTGCCTCTTGAGCAGCCCCTCACTCACCCCTGCAGGTAGGTGGAGATGAGGGCCTCCTTCACCCTGGCCTGCTCCTCTGCTGCCCCAGCCTCCTTAGGTACTGTCAGGAGAACAGGGTGAGCGACCAGGATGACACCTCATACCCTCGAGCTCTGATTCTGATCGGGACCCCTGCCAGGGATGCCTGGACCACCCCCCAGGGGGCCTTGGCCCTGTCATCTGGAGCCCCGAGGAAGACTGTGCCCAGTGTTCCAGCTTGGCCCACAGTCATCCCACCACTGGTAGGGACGGGAATGGGGTCTGCACTTGACTCACACGCCCTGGGAAGAGCTGAGAGTGACCCAGGAAGAAACCACTCAGGGCGGCAGGGGGCTTCTAGGAGGGTCTCAGCTAGCTGAACGGAGCCCACAGTGTAGGGTGTGGGAGCTGGCCCATGAGCTCTGAGGCTGCACACTACCCACACTGCCCCTCTCCCACTCCTGGCTGGGTCACCCATGCCCACTCACAGCCAGAGACGTGCAAGCTTGCGGAACAGAGGGCTTGGCCAGCAGTGTTTGTGGCGATGCAGGTGTAGGTGCCCTGGTGCTGACGGTCCACATCCAGAAGGACCAGGCTGTGCTGCTGGGCAGAGCTGGCCACTGTGTAGCCCGGCGTGTGGCAGCCGATCCACAGCACACCCTGCTCAGCCTCCTCCCGCAGCCAATGCACAGCTGGGAGCGGGTCTCCTGCAGGCAGGAGTATATGGTGGACAGTCTCCCCACACCAAGAGGGTGGCTCTGGGAGGCAGGGGTCACCTCTGAGCCTCCCTAGGAGGTCCTGAGTGGGTGCAGGCAGGGGACCTCCCTGGGGGCTCTCCTGAGTGGGACAGGGAGGCAGGACATCTCACCTTCAACCTTCACTGAGAAGGTGATGCTGGAGCCCTTCTTCACCTTCTTGGAGGTGAACTTCTCCAGGAATCGGGGTGGCACCAGCTGTTGCTGTACATCTGGAGAGACATGGGGCGGTTGGTGGTAAACAATGCAGAGCCCCAATTCCACGTGGTCGTCCCCCTCACGCACCCTCACTGAACCTGCCCCCAGTGTCCACCCCACCCTCCCTCCCTCTGCCCTCTGGAGTCGGCTCACCGAATGCTGGCTTCTCTTCTGGTTCATTGGGGCCTGAAGAAAGCACAGAGGTCAGATCTACAGCACCAAGGTGCCCCCTCCCCTGAGTGGGCCTGCCTAGCAGGGTGTGAGTCCCGAGGGCGGCCCCGCCCACTCCTACACACAGCACCTTTCCTAAACCTGGCCATGCAGACATGGAATTCACTCAGTCCCCACGGACCAGATGGAATGTTACCCATGCCCGCCCAGGAGTCTGGGGCGTTGCTCTGAAACTAACTTGGGGATGCTTGTGCTCAAAACGCCACAACTGAAGCAATGCCACAGGCAGTGTTGGGTCCCTAGATCAGGGCATATTTGGGCAAGACTTGGAATCACCTTGCAGTGCTCAGAACTTTGGAAAATAAGGAAGTTAAGACCTCTACTCCCCCAATTACTACCTGCCTCTTCCTCCACAGTCTACGGAGGGCTCCATGCTTGCCTGGGCCTACTCCACCAGCTAGCTACCCTGCTTGCTGGTCAGTTTTCACGGGCCCCACGCCCTCTAAGGGCCCATGTTCTCTGGGAGCCAGCTTCTGGCCACCTGTGACTTTTGCACACAGGGGCAGTGACCACTGGGCCCTAGCTCCCAGGCTTGCCACAGCATGGTTTATAGGTGGACATCAACCTGGGTGTGGACACCAAGCTCTGCTGCATCCCTGAGCACCCACCTCGGACCAGCAGCCGAGCAGACGAATAAGCAGCACCCACGGTGTTGCTGATGTAGGCCGAGTACTGGCCAGCATCCTCGCTGGTGACCGAGACAATCTCCAGGGTGTGCAGTGTCTTCCTGTCCGTCATGCAGATGTGTGCAGATGCAGTCAGGGGCTGCCCATCTTTGAACCAGTACAGTCGAGGTGTGGGGTAGCCTGGGGCCGCAGGGGGAGTGGTTAGCACAGGGCCACAGTCCAGTGGGCACCATGCCCTCCACAGGCCCTCATAGACCCCTGGGTGATCTAACCCTAACCAACCCTAACCCTCCCTCTGGTGGGAGGCAGCTCCTTTCCCTTCATCTCTCTCTCCCTTACCTTTCACCTTGAGCTGGAACTTGGCCAGACGTGTGCCGGGGGCCACCTGGAGGTCTTTCAGGTCCTCCACAACCTGTGGCAGCTGCCCCTCCTCTGAGGTAGACTCCGTGCCCTCCTGCTCCCAGCTGGCAGGGAGAACCAAGAAGGGGCAGATGTGAGATGGACCAGTGAGGGGTCCAGGACAGGAGGGGACCAGGGTCAAGCGTGGATGGCTTCTGAGGTCTCCTCTTTCCTGGACAGAGACTGCCGTGGCCTGGATGAAGCCTCCAGGATTTGGATTCTGTCAGTCCAAGCCAGCATTGCCACCCCCCGCAAAGGGCCCAGGACCACCCCTGCATGACCCTCTACCTGGACAGGTAGCCTTGGGCGCTGAAATAGGACGAGGTTTCCGTGGCATCCACAGCAGTTTCGTAGTCGGTGCTGGTCACTGAGGATGAAGGGTGGAGCTGAAGCGAGGCCTGCACCCCATCTGCCTGGGGAACGGGCCCCACCCCAGAGGCTACCTGATTCTCACTGCGCAGCCATTCCTGGGAGCCACTCACGCTTCTGAGTCAGAAGGCATGGGGGACACAGCTACCCTATGGCCCCTCCTTGTCTCCAGGCTGTTACCAGCCCATGTTTCCAGGCCTATAACTAACTACAAGACCCAACAAATTATAAATACTGGGCTTCATAAATAGCAGACAGTGGCAACAACAGCATCTTCCAGTTCCAGCCAACTAAGGAACAAGGATAACACAGGCCTCAAAACCAACAGCTGGGACTTCAACTTCTAGCCACAATGGAGAAGAGGGGCTGGATTTACCCTCTGCTAAGGTCTGAATGTTGTGTCCCCCCAAAATTCATATGCTGAAATCCTAACCCTCAACATGACAGTGTTTGAAGATGGGATCTTTTTGAGGTGATCAGGCTTAGATGAGGTCATGAGGGTGGAGCCTAATGAATGGGATTAGTGCCCTTATAAGAAAAGACCCCTTCCCCCTTCCCCTGTGTGAGAACACAGTGAGAGGATGGCCATCTGCAATTCAGAAGAGGGCTTTCACCAGCACCCAACCATGCTAGCACCCTGATTTCAGACTTCCAGTCTCCACAACTTTAAGCAATAAATTTCTGTTATTTAAGCTGCACAGTCTATGGTACTTTGTTATAACAGCCTGAACTAAGACACTGGCCCCCTGAAACAACCAAAGGAAAACAAGCACAATACACAAAACAATGGTTGTGATGTTGTGATTTATAGTAAGAAATATGTGTTTGGTCTTCCTCCTGTTTCTGACTCAGAGCTCCTAAACCCTTGGAATTTCCTAAGTGAGGAGAGGCACAGAGGTGGGTTTTTTTATGTTAATGAAGTGATTTTCCAAAAGCCCCTAAGGATGGGGGCTGATTGCCAGGGTAACCAACCATGTGACTAGAAGGTTGGGACCCCCTGACATCCAGGGAGGGGAGAGGGGCTGGAGATTGAGTTCAATCCTAGGAATAAACCTACCTAAGGAGGCAAAAGACCTGTACAGCAAAAACTATAAGATGCTGATAAAGAAATCAAAGACGACACAAACAGATGGAGAGATATACCATGTTCTTGGACGGGAAGAATCAATACTGTCAAAATAACTATACTACCCAAAGCAATCTACAGGTTCAATGCAATCCTTATCAAATTATCAATGGCATTTTTCACAGTAGAACAAAAAATTTTACAACTTGTATGGAAACACAAAAGACCTTGAAGAGCAAAAGCAATCTTGAGAAAAGAAAAAAAACAGAGCTGGAGGAATCGGGCTCCCTGACTTCAGACTATACCACAGGGCTACGGTAGTCAAGACAGTATGGTACTAGTGCAAACACAGAAATATAGATCAATGGTACAGGAGAGAAAGCCCAGAGATAAACCCATGCACCTATGGTCAACTAATCTATGACAAAGGAGGCCAGAATATACAATGGAGCAAAGACAGCCTCTTCAATAAATGGTGCTGGGAAAACTGGGCAGCTATACGTAAAAGAGTGAAATTAGAACACTCCCTAACACCATACACAAAAATAAATTAAAAATGAATTAAAGATCTAAATGTAAGGCCAGACACTATAAGACTCTTAGAGGAAAACATAGGCAGAACACTCTTTGACGTAAATCACAGCAAGATCTTTTTTGACCCACCTCCTAGAGTAATTAAAATAAAAACAAAAATAAACAAATGGGACCTAATTAAACTTAAAAGCTTTTGCACAGCAAAGGAAACCATAAACAAGACGAAAAGACAACTCTCAGAAAGGGAGAAAATATTTGCAAACGAAGCAACTGACAAAGGATTAATCCCCCAAATATACAAACAGCTCATGCAGCTCAATATCAAAAAAACAAACAACCCAATCAAAAAATGGGCAGAAGACCTAAATAGACATTTCACCAAAGAAGACATACAGATGGCCAAGAGGCACGTGAAAAGATGCTCAACATCACTAATCATTGAGAAATGCAACTCAAAACTACAAAGAGGTAGTTTTCACCTCATACCTGTCAGAATGTCCTGCATCACAAAATCTACAAACAATAAATGCTGGAGAGGGTGTGGAGAAAAGGGAACCCTCCTACACTTTTGGTGGGAATGTAAATTGATACAGCACTATGGAGAACAGTATGGAGGTTCCTTAAAAAACTAAAAATAGAACTATCATGTGACCCAGCAATCCCACTACTGGGCATATACCCTGAGAAAACCATAATTCAAAAAGACACATGCACCCCAATGTTCATTGCAGCACTATTTACAATAGCCAGGACATGGAGACAACCTAAATGTCCATGAACAGAGGAGTGGATAAAGAAGATGTGGTACACATATACAATGGAATATTACTCAGCCATAAACAGGAACAAAATTGAGTCATTTGTAGAGACGTGGATGGACCTAGAGACTGTCATACAGAGTGAAGTAAGCCAGAAAGAGAAAAACAAATATCGTATATAATGCATATATGTGGAATCTGAAAAAACTGTATAGATGATCTTATTTACAAAGCCAAAATAGAGACACAGACGTAGAGAACAAACCTATGGATACCAAGGGGGAAAGGGAGGGTGGGATGAATTGGGAGATTGGGATTGACATATACACACTACTGATACTATATGTAAAATAGATAACTAAGGAGAACCTATTGCACAGCACAGGGAACTCTACTCAATGCTCTGTGGTGACCTAAATGGGAAGGACACCCAAAAAAGAGGGGATATGTGTATATGTATAGCTGATTCACTTTGCTGTACAGTAGAAACTAACACAACACTGTAAAGCAACTATACTCCAATAAAATATTTTTTTTTAATCACCAGTGGTCAATGATTTAATCAGTTGTGCCTGTGTAATGAAGTCTCCATAAAAACCCAAAAGGATAGGGTTCAGAGAGCTTCCCGGCTGGTAAACACATGGACACTGGGGGAGAGTGGCACGCTTGGCCCTGCCCCTTCCCAGGCGCCTTGCCTATACGTCTCTTCCACCTGGCTGCTCCTGAGTTATACCCTTTTATAATAAAGCACTGATCTAGTAAGTGAAATGTTTCTCTGAGTTCTGTGAGACACTTTAGCAAATTATTAAAACCCAAGGAAGGGGGTCATTGGAACCTCTAATTTATAGCATGTAGGCCAGAAGCACAGGTGACAACCTGGACTTGCAGTTGATATCTGAAGTGGTGGTGGAGGCAGCCTTGTGGGACTGAGCCCTTAACCTATGGGATCTGATGCTATTTCCATGTGGATGGTGTCAGAATTGAGTTGAACTGTAGGACACTTGGCTGGTGTCTCAGAGAATTTCTTTTTGTGGGAAAGAAAAAAACCCACACATTGGAATTGGGTACAGAATCATCAGAATGGTTAAGATGAATGAAGGACAGTGATGTATTAGAGATAGGAAACAATGGTGAGCCCTATAATTGCCCCAGCTTCCTGACTTAAGTTTATGGGAAAAGGAAACTGAGGCAGAGCCAGGCAGACCCTGAGTTGAGGAGACAGAGCTGATGTCCTGAGAGACAAAGGCAGCCTGTGCCCATGGAACAGAAAACCAGAGAAGAGAAAGCTGCACAGAGAGAGGGCCCCCTCCCTCGAGGATGCCACAGAGCACTGACTGGCACATGCACACAGGAAAGAGCCATCTGAAAGGACTAGAGGAAGTAGCACCAGAGGAGCACAAGGGCTGGAATAATGTCTGTTTGCAGTCAGATTAGAAACTTTCTTAATTCACAGGGCATCAGGTTGAGTACTCAGGAACACTCTCACTTCAGCAGACGAAGATGATCAGCTTTGGACTGAGCACCGCCTTGGCCCCACATAACAAATCACACAAGCCAGACCCAAAAGGATCGAGCTGCTTCCAAGTAACGCACTGTATTGCTCAAGAAGACCTGCAGAAACACAAAATATCCAGCTCCCAACAGGGTTAAATTCACACTGTCAGGCATTCAGCCAAGACTGTCCGACATGCAAGGAGGCAGGAAACACACAACCTATAATGTGTAGAATAATCAATTGTCAAAACCAAGTCAGATTTGACACAGATGTTCGAACTGGGAGATAAGGACATTAGCACAGGTATTAGAACTGTATTCCATGTGTTCGAAAAGTTAAGATGAGATATAGAACATATAAAAAAGACTCAAGTAGAACTTCTAGAGATAAACAATACAATGGATGGGATTGATAGCAGATTAGATACTACAAAAGAACAGTGAATATAAAAGCATAGCAATAGAAACTATGAAATGCATAGAGAAAGAAGAATTTTATTAATAAAAATGGAAAAGGATTATTAGTAAGCTATAGTACAACTTCAAGTGGCTCGATTATTTGTAACTTAAGTTCCCAAATGAAGGGGGAAAGAAAAAATATTTGAAGAAATAATGCCTCCCCCAAATTTCAAACTTAATGAAAACTATTAACCCAAAATTCCAAGAAGCTCAATTAACTGCACAAGGAACATAAATAAAGACAATTGCACCAAAGACTATGATCAAATTACTCAAAACCAATGACAAAAAAAAATCTTAAAAAGTATCCAGAGATCATGTTTGCAGAAATTGACAAGCTGATCCTAAAATTCATAAGAAAATGCAAGAGACTCAGGATGGTCAAAAAATCTTGAAGAAGAACCAAGTTGGCAGACTCACAGTTAAAAATTTCAAAACAGTATTATACACAGCTACAATATTCAAAACAGTGTGGTAATGGCATAATGACAGACATCTGGATGAATGGAATAGAAATAAACCTACACATTTAATAGAAATTCGTTTCTGACAAGAGTTCCAAGACAATTTTATGAGGGAAAATAGTCTTTTCAACAATAGTGGCGGGACAACTGGATTTCCACAGGAAAAAAATGAATTGGGGCCCTTACCTCATACCATATACAAATATGAACTCAAAATGTACCA